TGTCAAACTGTCTGCCTAGCTGTCCCTCTGTCACTCTGTCCCACTTGGTTTTCCGCACTTTTTTCTAAACGCTTGCAAATATTAAGCTGATTTTGGTATGTTAGTGTGTGTTGATGAGTTACAGATCAAGTTTTTTATTTCGTTCTGCTTCATTGATTTTTGAGGGAATTACAATTTTTTTAATTTTTAAGGGTTTTCCACACTTTTTTCCCAAACGTTTGCAGATATTGAGTTGATTTTTGGTATATGAGTGTATCTTGATGAGTCACAGATCAAGTTTGCATTATGTTCCGCTTCAATGATTTTTTGACAGAATTACAGCATTTTCAATTTTTAATGGGAACCAGATTACACTTGCCGGTAGTGGACTAGTATTGTTAATGCAGAAAGCTTGTCTCAATAGCTCTAATACACATGCTTGAATAAACCATATGATAGCAAGAATGATAGTAAAATTCTGCCACCTATCGCAGAGTTAATTTAGAAAGTTGACATATTCGAATGATTTTTTCATATTCATATACCGAATATTTATGTGAATTTTATCAAAAAACATAACTTACTTGGGAGAACAAAGAGAGATAAGTCTATAATTTTGGCAAAACTTCATCTCTATAGAAATCAACGGAAAATATTTTTACCCCCCCCCCCTTCACTGAAATGACAATTCCTTTTAAAGTATTATGAATTGTTATTTCAGAAATTCAAATTTATACCAATTGTTTCTTGTTTCAGGGGAGTGGGTTGTTGGGGAGGGGGGGGGGGTATGAGGGTGTAGAACATATATTTACATACTAAAAGCAGCAAAAATAGTCATTTTATTGCCAATGAATCTAATATGTCAGTTGACTTTTACATAAGTTAAACATACGGAGAGATTTGATGGTTATTTATCCATTTCCATGAGTATTTGAAAATCTGGATCACTTGTTATGTTTAAAACCCGATTTCAATTTATAAAATTGTCTAACCCTTCCCCCTCTTTATGAGAAGAGTTTTAAATGAGCAGTTAACTTTTTGACAATGGTTTTAAAATAATTAATCCATTACCTATAAACTCTTCTACAATAATAATAAAACTTGGCAGAAGTTGTGAAGGCCAGGATGGAGTATATCGAAAGAAGGAGTATTTCCTCTTAAAAAAAAAGGACTAAATCCCAAGCTTTCTTGCAGGCATATATGATTCAATTTTTTTGACGGGGTGGGGGTTGCATTGGGGGTGGGGGTTCGGGTCACAAACGACAAAAGAACAAACTTTTAGTAGAGCCTTGAGTAACTTTTCTTGGATGTTGTTAATAACGCAAAGTTGCAGTCATGGAAGTTGAATAAAGTGTGTGTACTGGACAGGTACAGTCGTGAATGTTGTTTATAAGCACAGGTACAGTCATGGATGTAGAATAAAGTGTGTGTAATGGACAGGTACAGTCGTGGATGTTGTTTATAAGACACAGGTACAGTCAGGGATGTAGAATAAAGTATGTGTACTGGACAGGTACAGTCGTGGATGTTGTTTATAAGCACAGGTACAGTCATGGATGTAGAATAAAGTATGTGTACTGGAAAGGTACAGTCGTGGATGTTGTTTATAAGACACAGGTACAGTCAGGGATGTAGAATAAAGTGTGTGTACTAGACAGGTACAGTCATGGATGTCGTTTACAACGCACATGTACAGTCATGGATGTAGAGTAAGATGTGTATACTGCACAGGTACAGTCGTGGATGTTGTTTATAAGGCACAGGTACAGTCATGGATGTAGAATAAAGTGTGTGTACTGGACAGGTACAGTCATGGATGTTGTTTATAATGCACAGGTACAGTCATGGATGTAGAATAAAGTGTGTGTACTGGACAGGTACAGTCATGGATGTTGTTTATAAGCACAGGTACAGTCATGGATGTAGAATAAAGTGTGTGTACTGGACAGGTACAGTCGTGGATGTTGTTTATAAGACACAGGTACAGTCAGGGATGTAGAATAAAGTGTGTGTACTGGACAGGTACAGTCATGGATGTTGTTTATAAGCACAGGTACAGTCAGGAATGTAGAATAAAGTGTGTGTACTGGACAGGTACAGTCGTGGATGTTGTTTATAAGGCACAGGTACAGTCATGGATGTTGTTTATAAGGTACAGGTACAGTCGTGGATGTTGTTTATAAGGCACAGCTTCAGTCATGGATGTTGTTTATAAGGCACAGCTTCAGTCATGGATGTTGTTTATAAGGTACAGGTACAGTCATGGATGTAAAATAAAGTGTGTGTACTGGACAGGTACAGTCATGGATGTTGTTTATAAGGCACAGGTACAGTCAGAGATTTTTGTTATAAGGCACAGGTACAGTCAGGGATGTTGTTTATAAGGCACAGGTACAGTCAGGGATGTTGTTTATAAGGCATGGGTACAGTCAGGGATGTTGTTTATAAGCACTGGTACAGTCATGGATGTAGAATAAAGTGTGTGTACTGGACAGGTACAGTCATGGATGTTGTCAATCAGGCACCGGTACAGTCATGGTGTAAAATTTCTAGAGTTGTCTGGACAGTACAGCAGAATCTTAGAGAGGTGGATCTAATAAAAATATTTACTTATACAAATATTTTCTTCGGATGTTATCGATAATTATAGGATTAATTTCCTTTAATATGAGCAATTATTTTAATACCATACCCTACATATTCCAGGTATCACACCACGGTTATCGACCAGTCAAGATGTTAATTGTTTTATGCATATGAAATTAATTTTTATTTCTTTTGAGAATTTTTTTTTGGGGGGGGGGGGGGTATTCCAGCCTATTTTTACAACTTTGTTACCTGTGCCTAGTAAATTTTATGTACTTTGTAAATAAATAATTTTTTTTTGTCAGGAACTATTTTTTTTCAGGGCATAGGATGCTACTTCCTGGAGTGCACTTGAGATGTTTATATATAACACATTGAAAACGGGTGGATCAGCCCATTCCACTCGTAAATATCGTAAGACATATATTTATGGGAAAAAACCTGTGCTTTTCATTGACACCTCTTGCGTGATCAATGAAATGGGTGAAATTAATAATATTGTGACGTACTTATACTTTCTAACATAAAATTAAAGATTACAAATTAATTCCAATTATTTTAATTTCCTTTTTTATTTTACTTTGTTTATTGTTTACTCGTATATTTTCTATAATTATACTAGCATGTTTCATTTTAAATTCATCATTATTAATAAATTGAGCATGTAGGATATTGAAATCATGCCCCCAGCCGCCCCCCCCCCCCCCAAAAAAAAAATAAAGACCTGGCTCATATTGTACTCTGAACATAAAGCTTTAAATTTAAATCTGTAAAAGTTTTGGATCCTTCCCTAATAACTGCTGACATCGTTTGTCTCGGTATCACTGTCATGGGTAATATAAAGATAAGCGTTAATTGCGCTTTGATTGAATTCAGTCTAAATCTAAATCGGAGAAAATCCACAGAATTTTTTGTTGTGGATGTTATTAATCAAGCGCGGGTTAAGTTAATCAAGCGCGGGTTGAGTCAGTGGTAGTGTGTATATACGGCACAGGTACAGTCGCAGATGTTGTATATCAGGCACAGGTATACAGTCATAGATATACAAAATGTACGCTGTAGTAAATGTTACTTTTTAGAGATAATAGCGATCTATGCAATGGATTTAGGCATAGTCAAGCTTACAAATATATTTTCCGCGATATATTCACTAAGCTAGTTATCGTTACCGTTTTGGCGATTACAGCCTTCCATAAAGTAGATTAATTATTAACACATTTCGTATGTTTCATTAAAAAAAACAATCCATTCTTAATTAACAACATATATACAGTTTAATACGTTGAACAATCCGGAAAGTCTTGCTCTGACATTCCGTTTTTAATATTAGTGAGCAGGTACAGTCATGGATGTCCGGTACCAGCATTGCCGAGTACAGTTGCGGATGATAGCTGACAGCCACTGTTGGTTTTATTTGTTTGTAAATGTAATAGTGATAGTTTTATGCTGTTTTAATTATTATGATATTCAAATGTATAATTTATTAATTATACATTTATGAATATGCCACAACTGATTTTAAACTCTGAAGTGCATGTATTAATCTGTGTGTCAATCATTAATTATTGACAAAGACAAATAATTTAAAATCAGTTAAAATACCTGACTGGAAATCCAGAGCAGAGTATTTACAATCTTTAATGACCACAACAGTTTTTAAAGATGTAGACAGCAGAGTTATCTCAGATGCTCTGATAAAAATTGTCACTGAATCAGCTGAATAATTATTTTATTTGTTTTATGATAAAATACCAGATATTTATTCTGTTTTTAGCAATATTTTATGCCGTGAATTATTTTCAGCATTATTGTTGCCCATTGATAGATGTACGGAAGCCCATTTAGGACCTATTAAAAAATATTTTTGAATTCGTATAAAATCGTCTCTATGACTAAAAAAAAAAAAAGAGAGTAAATACTTCTTCAGAATTTAATCTTCAGTGGTCACTAGAACCATTTTCTGTATTAGGCATAAACTATTCTGTAGATTATGTACAAACTAAATTTCCAATCAAAGCTTATTGAAATGAAAAAATAATTGGCTCTTGGTCAGAAAGATTGTTGACGACTGCCGGCAAAATTACAGTAGTAAAATCATTTTTTTAAATAACCTTTCTTTGCCTACACCATCTAGAATACCAAAGAATTGTATAGTATATAGCCATGAAAATGGTGGTACAAGAACGATATGTGTACAAGACTTTTGTAAAGCGTTAAACAAAAAATAAACTAGTAATCTCAATGTTTCTGCATGGAAAACTCTTTTTTAAAGCAAAGGTTCAGATGTGGAACGTATTCTTTGTTATGGTAACAGTTTTACAACCCCATTTATACGTCATCTAGATCTCATCTGGAAGTGTCTTATACACTAATTCTTTTCTTATAAATATTAGTATGTCTTTTTAAATAAATATATTAAAATAATTAAAATGATATATGTTCATCAATCCACTTTATTACTCCATAATACGTCAACATAATACACTGTATATACATTCCCAAAACAAATACAATGTTTTAGTCACATCCAATGTTATATATACTAATATCCGCAGTCTAAACAATTGATAACGACTTCCAGAAAGGAAGAAAGGTGTCAGAGATACAAAAAAGCCCAATTATTTGATTACATGTAATTAGTTTAATGAACATTAGAGTTGAGATCTTGCAGTTCTAAATACAACAAGAGTTGTTCGTGAAACACTTATGCCCCCTCCAATAACTGGAATTTTTTCTAATCCAAGGGGCATAACTCTGTCAAAAATTGCTCGATCTTACCCAAAACAAAATTTGACCTAGATATTCTTATGATAAATCTGTATACCAAATTTCATTTCAGTATGTGCAACTTCTGCAAAGAAAATGAACGGAAACTGCAAATAATTGGATTTTTTCTTAAGTTCTAGGGGCATGACTCTGTCAAAAATTGCTCGATCCTACCCAAAACAGAACTTGACCCAGATATTTTTATAATAAATCTGTATACCAAATTTCATTTCAATATGTGCAACCTCTGCGAAGAAAATGAACGGAAACTGTTGGTGGACGGACAGACAGACCGACCGACAGCAGCAAAGCAATATGTCCTTCCTTCAAATCGAAGGGGGGCATAAAAATTTATACATCCATTGCATGTATATTGAAATTAATAACTGAAATTAAGAAATCGGAAATCAACAGTCACTCTTTGATTTCTTTACATATAACCGGGTGGTCATATCAATATATATACTCTAGACACTCTCATGAAGGAATTACATAAATGTACATTTTATATGATATTAGTTGAAGCTTTTTTTTATGCCCCGTATCGAAGATTCGGGGGTATATAGTTTTTCCTTTTTTTTGTTTTTTGTTTGTTTGTTTGTTTGTTTTTTTTTTGATGAATTACGTTCAAGTTTACTTAAAAAGTAAAACATTCATTCTAATCATTAAGCAATGTGAAAAAAATATTTAAAAAATATAAAATCTTTAAAATTATCATAATCTCTCTCTCTCTCTCTCTCTGTGTATGTGTGTAACTAGTAGCCTCTGTTGTTAAACTTGAATTTCACCACCGAACTGAACAATACACAGAATAATGAGAAACCCCAGCACCAGTCCAGAATTCTGAATTAAGAACACTAAATACATGTTTTCAGAACCACTTGATTCTGCCTCTGCTAACTGTTCTTTCATTTCTGGAATCTAAAAATAAACAAAATGTTGGTATGTATTCTTAAATGAATCAAAAATATTAAAACATGTAATTTTTTTGTGAAGGGAGACTAGAGGCCCATGGACCTAAATGGTAGTGGTGTTCCAATCATCGATTATAATCGAAAATCAGTCGATTGCTGGCATAATCCAAGCGCTCGATTACAAAATTTTTATTCTGATTAATCGGTTTATTTATTAATTTTTTTTTTTTTTACAAGCGTAATAGTTTTTAAGCCAAATATTCCAGCCGCAACTTATCAATTAACTTATTTGTGTATCGAACAGACAACTTACCCGGGAAACAAAATATTCCCGGGTATGGAGGTAAGTTTTATATCTGTACAGCGTATGAAGAAAAATTAAAAAGAAACAGATACAGTGTGTACATCTACACACTCAATAAAACTCTCAGATGATATCCTTTTATTCTTTTACAGCAAAATAAACAACAAATACATATGCAGAAAGTAGTCATTTACCCATTCTTAACATTTAATTAAATAAATTGATAGACTTTGTAAATGTCAGATTATATTCGATAATTAGTTAGTTACAGTAACCCGATCATCGATTACGAAATTCTTACCGATTCCCATCACTACTAAATGGTCACCTGAGTAACTGCAGTAAGCTCTTGCACGATGTATCTTTAGTTAATATTGTCAGTAAAGGACTTAAAATTGAACCAATAAACAAATAAAAATTATAAAACATTTGAATATTGTTCCTCAAACCCTAACCCCAATAAAGTTTGCCTTAAAGGTGATTTTTGAGATGAAATGCACTTAAACTACAGTATATATACTACATTTAACCCCACCCTGGGATTGGACAGCCGACACTGCCTATCAGTAGATAGTCCATTTAAGTCCACTCCAGAAATCCTCGCTGCCTGTAGGTCATATAAAGAGGTCGGGGGGGGGGGGATCATAAAATTCTCAATTTTTGTAGCGTTTTGCCCATAGGAGCTCTACACTATTTGGTTGATATTGGCTCAGTAGTGTCAGAGGAGAAGTTAACGGGCGACAGATAATTTACGATGAGCGACGGACGGCAGCGAAAGAAATAGGTCACCTGGGTCAATCGGATAAATAATAATCTAGTTGCTTTTTTGTAAATTTTGCTCAATACAAACCATGTCACTTAAGGCAATGTACACAAATAATCCTCCTGCGAACCCAAATATCCACTGATTGGCGTTTGTATTTTCTCCCACCAATATTCCTATCACAAGTCCCGCATAAGAAATCACAGCCGCTATGAAATTTAAGAAAAGCGCCCTTTTCATTTTTAGACCAGCATGAAGAAGGATGGCAATGTCACCTAAATGAAAAAATTAGACATTAAATAAAAATAATCATCAATTTAGCATTTTCCATTTTTTAAAAAGTAGAAAGAAACGGGTCAAAAATCTTGAACCTTGGTGAACACCAGACATTCACAGAAACACGTTTAGACACCCGTAGATGCCACTGGTTTAATCTTACCTAATTCATGAGGCAATTCTTCGCACAAAACGGCCAAAGAAACACTTATCCCTAGCAAAGTATCTTCTGTAAATGCCGCCCCGATAGATAATCCATCCACAAAATTATGGATGGCGTCTCCAATGAGCAGAATCCAGGCCACTGGAGCTATTTCCTTTTTGCCGTCTTTGTCTATAACGCCTAGATTTATATGAGAATGTGAATGAAGTTTCCTCTCTAACAATTCCACTTTACCGTTTTCTTGATTTTTATCATCTGCCGGGTCATCAATTATGTCTTCTGAGTTAGGTCTCTGTTTACAGTTAAAATTAAAACAAAAATACTCAGTAAATAAAAGAAAACCCAATCCAACAAATTATTAACAGATAAATGTGGTATAATAATACAATATTAAGTTAGCTTAAGTTTGCATGTACAGAATTATCTCCCTCTTCCCTATGAAAGTATGTCATATCATATTAAAAAATCTAGTATCCTCAATATTTACCGAATCCTATTCTAAGCTCTGCCCCACCCTTCCTCAGGGTACATATTTACTCAAAACCTCGAAGAAATATTAATCTGTTCACCTTTCTAAAATATCTTGCCGACAGACAAAAGAGGGGGAAAAACAAGTCATAGCATGAATTCCTTACTTCTCTTGTGGAGGCAATGCAAAACTGGTATTTCTATGCTTGATATTACCAGTATGTTAAGGTACATGTATCTAAACATTGTAAATACTTTACCCTGCGCCTGTCAATGACGAACTTCAAGACGCGTTCAGAAATAAATACAAAATACGCCCCACCAATGACGGTGGCCATTTTCCAGTGATAATCGGGAACTGGACTATCTTCTCCTGTAAGATGCATAGACTGAAATGAATATTATAATAGTCATTAATCCAGTTCTGTATAAGGTTGTGTATAAAAAGAGGGAATAGAGGAGTTTAAGGTTCATCCTCCCTCTGTTCACTCAAATAAAATTTTGTTTTAACGCTTTTGATTTTTCAAAAGAAATGTAATTTTATAATCAAAATGTATACAATTTCAGCATACTTTATGGTACAAAATATGATAGAAATCGTCTTTTAATTTGACGATTTTAAAGAGGAATAATATAGTCATTTCTCCCAATGAGAGTTATCTCTCTTCTTATCAGAGGGCCAATGAGCCTTAATTGACGAAAATGAGTATGTATATACCTCAGGTATGAGTACTAAAAATCCAGTGGAACCGAGCGTTCCCACGGCAAGGGCTACGCAGAACATAAGAATTCTCTTGAATGCATTCGTGTGAATACATGGTCCAAGGAAGACTCCTGTGTTAGAGATTAGGACAACCAAGCTCACGAAACCAATACCATACCCCCATGCTGGAATCAAAATTTTGTTGATATGTTCAGTGGTTGCGAGACAATTTTTAAATGCGTTTTCAATAGGAAAAAGTATAATAAATGTTTTATTTAAAAAATTAAACTAGCGATATCATAATATAGAGAGGGCTAATAACTACCCCCCCCCCCTCCCCAAAGAAGCATATTTCTTAAACGGTGATTAACCTTGTCCTATAGGCGGTTTCCCAGCATGCTCGAGGACAGCTGATTGCGAGTCGGAACAGCAATCCTCATTATGGAGTTTCAACAACAACAGAGGACAGGCGGCTGACAGAGAAGAGTCATTAATCTGGGTACCTCCACTGGAAACTTCCTGGAATATCTGGGAGAAAGTCTGGCATTGCTGAAATTTAGTATAGACCAGTGTCGATGAACCTGAATATTTACACTTATAGTCAGGGTCAATGTCTGTTTTAAAATTAATCAGCTCTACAAGGACTCTTGCACTTAGGGTATCTTTTGTTATGCCAAAATACTAAGTATTGGCTTGCTAATCTTAATACATGTAATAGCGAAAGGAAATCTTTGGTTTTATTTTGTTTAAAGGCAACAGTAACATTGTTATTGTATATAGCAAGGCGTATATATAATTTTTTTTAAAAGTTGTTATACAATGAAATTATAATTATGATGACATTTATCAGAATTGCGTAAATACGGATGTAAAGATACATATTTACTTCGTTAATGTACGGACCTACATTCAGATATAGCTTGATGTACATGGTGATAGAGGAACTTACATATATATATTTTTTTAATTTTGGAAAACACAATACTTTACCAAGACCGGAAACCATAACTTCGAGACAAAAAGGGGGTAACTTTTATGAAAGGCATAAAAACAATTTTATTCTAAAAGAAAAAAAAACACACGTGGAAACCAAAATACACATGCACAGACAAACACATGTACGCCTGGATCCGCCCCAGAAAGAAACAAAATGCTTTCAAAAGCATATACTCACACAAGAGTCATTCCGAGCAGTGCCACTAAACTTTCTTGGTCCCCTCTGAAGAGCATTACCTAAACTAATGAATTCCTCCCGTGAGAGAGTCCCCAGTGACCCGTACCTCCGAATGAATTCTTCCGTAGCGTTCTTGGTGGCGGCATGGATTTCCTTTCCGTTACAGAGAGAAAGCAAGGTCAATACTAAGGAAGCAATGTTGATGTGCCCCATTGCAGCGATCATTAAGTTTTCTATTTAGCAAAACCACGTGTGTATCCGTTCACCGTGATCTTATGGGGTGACGAATAGAGTTTAAAGTCCCGAAATAATTCATAATAACAAAATATTGTAATAGGTGCAAAGTTGACTTCCTTATCCTTTGCAATGTTGACATACATATAACTTAAGAGTATGTTTTATAAGTTTTATCATTTACTATTATATATGCCCACGCATGGACCTAATACATCCCAGGACGTTTAAAACAACAAAGTGACTTCAGGACAGCGACCTTGTATAGTTTATGTGACTGCAAATGAGTTAAGATGTTGGGGGGGATCTTCATATATATATATATATATATATATATATATATATATATATATATATATATATATATATATATATATATATATATATATATATATATATATATATATTGTGATGCGTCGACGTCTCTTCTTCTTACTTTTTTGCAGTTCTTTTGACTTCCATGAAAAATCAATGTACATCAGATTTAATTGATTTTTTTAATATGTGTAATTTAAACTAATTTCATATCCAGATTTAATATAAGTGACTGTTTTAAAAGATGGTCATTTAACAATAAACCTTACTCTAAAAGTACCACACGTATAACATGTAGATTGTAAATGAAAATAAAAGTCAAAATAAGCATAGTGAAAACACCGACCTTTTACTTCTCATCTTCATAGTTAAATTTGACCGGGGGGGGGGGGGGGGGTACCCTAACTTGACTTACCGAAAAATTTTGAAATCTTAATTTAAAACTCAAGTCAACCGATTGTATTGTCTTTTGCGTTTCATCTTTGAGGAAAAAATTATTATACCATGAACTCTGCACATCTCTGATATTGACCACAACTGATAAACTTTTTAGCTCAGAACAGTTTCTTGTGTATGTCGAGAGCTAAACAAACCTAGTATCGGGTACGCTCTTAGATAATGTGCGCTCCCTCTTTCTATCCGACGTAAACACACACACGACAAAAACAACTGATAGTTCATTTTATGGATAAGTCATGTTCTAGTTTGGGAGATTTCTGAGTGGTTGTAGAATTATCTGAAGTGGACATAGATACCAGCGGTCCGCTGGCAGATTGAACATTTAAAAATAAAGATATTGGTATACACTTTACAAATTTAAAAACATACGAGGGCATGTGAACTTGATACATTTCATGGATAAGACATGTTCTAGATTTTGAGTATAGTGGCAAAGTAATCTGGAGTGGATGTAAATACTAGATGGCAAATTTTGGTTCTTTTATCGGTTCAGATTGAACATTAATATAATGACGTTGGTACAAACATTTTGTCAGGTAAAAAATTAAAGCTCAGCAGTTCGGTGATGCATTAATTTATTTGAAAGAGAAAAAAATCCATCTTTTTATAGAGAGATCAATGCCTGCCATGGATTCGGTGTAATTTACTTGATCCTCCTCTAGTTTAAATAATATGTACAAATACAAGGCTCAAAACTGAAAAGACTGTGATCCCATCTAAATCCTTCTTAAATTTCTGTCCTCTCTGTTGTTTTGAATATGCTAAAGTATTTTACTGACAAATGATCAAAAGGGTCGGAAACAAGCTCTATCAACTTAGTAGTTACAATATAAGAGTTAAACGAAAAAGGGAAAGTGAAAGGAGATAGGGGAGAGGAAGTGAGAGAGTGTTGTGAGAGGATGGAGGAAGTGAGGAAGACAGAGGAGAGAGATGGGAGACAGGGTAGAGAGAGAGAGAGAGATGCCAGAGAGGGTGAGAAAAGAGATAGAGGTGGGAGGGAGAAAGTGAGACAGAGGAGAGAAAATTAAGGAGGCCGGAGAAATGGGAGACAGGGTGGAGAGAGAGACATGATGAGAAAGAGTGAAATGGGAGGCACAATAGAGAAAGAGATCGGAAGAAGGTAGAGGATGGGAGATATAGGGGATATAGAGAAGAGAGCAAAAGAAGTTACCAAAATAAAGGAGGGATATAGAGAGAATATTGAGTTAGAATGGGAGAGAAAAAATGAGGATAGTGTGTAAAACATATTCAGTATAGAGAGATTTGGTAATCCTTGGCATATTTCTTAGTACGGTCGGACGCCCATTTAGTACCTATTGAAATTCGATATAACGAATTTTCGAATTTGTTTAAAATTACAATTTTTTGAATTCGTTATAACGAATTAGATTTGTTGAAATTTTTTTAAACAGATTAAGGGTTATTTGTTTATCTTAATTCGTTCTGTATTAAAAAAAAAAAAAAAAAAAAGAAAAAAAAAAGAGGGTGATTAAATTTTGGATTTTGGGCGAACGGACGCATGCGAACTGTTGGATAGAGCTAGTCGTCAGGAACATAGGCACTCCCCAGCTTAATTGTTAAAAAATATATATCTACTATACTATAAACATAACAGTTGTGTGATATATATTTTTAACAATTAAGCTGGGGAGTGCCTATGGTCAGGAACGGGGTTATATGGGGTCATAATAAAAAATGATACAAGTCCAAAAAATATCCATTAGTTTTCCTCTAAAAGATACTTAAGTGTTATACCTTTCGCTTTGGCAATTGCTTGTTTTCCTTGATTATCACTCGTACTAATAAACTCGGATTTATTTAGTTTCTTAGTTTTCGGTTTACCGTTTAGCGTTTTTATCCAGTTTCCAGTATATAAACTGGCATTTGACAGTTTGACGTTTGTCGGTAAAATGATAATTTTATTTCCGTGTACAAACAAACGATGAAATCAGGTGAAGTTCTTTATCTAAGCAAAATTTAAAATGTTTTGCATGGTGAGAATCTTCGATAAATTAATCCTTTGTTCTGGAAATCAAGCGAGGAGATTTTTCGCGACTGTGCCTATTGAAAAACGTGCCCATGCTTATGCAGGCGTAAATACACACAAACCAAAAGAGTATTGGGATTATGAGGCTCACGTTGTGAATTGGGGTCGCTTTGAAGAATACAAAGTCGGGGAAAAATTGGGAAGTGGTAAATATAGCGAGGTCTTTGAGGCAATAAACACCAGAAACAATGAAAAATGTGTTATCAAATTTCTAAAGCCTGTGAAAAAGAAGAGAATTAAAAGAGAAGTAAAGATTTTGGAAAATCTACAAGGAGGACCAAATATAATCTCATTGCTGGACATGGTGAAAGATCCTGTTTCAAGGATACCAGCTCTTATATTTGAGTTTGTGAATAATACATACTTTAAAACCTTGTATCAAGAATTTTCAGACTATGACATAAGATTCTACCTCTATGAATTACTCAAAGCATTGAACTATAGTCATCAAATGGGAATAATGCACAGAGATGTTAAACCAGCAAATGTCATGATTGATCATGAAAACAGAAAGTTACGATTAGCTGACTGGGGACTTGCAGAATTTTACCATCCGTACATGGCATATAATGTTCGGGTTGCTTCAAGGTACTTCAAGGGACCAGAACTTTTACTAGATTATAAAATGTATGATTACTCTTTGGATATGTGGAGTGTTGGATGTATTCTTGCTCAGATGATATTTATGAAAACCCCATTTTTTCATGGACTCAACAATTCTGACCAATTGTTGCAAATAGTAAAAGTTCTAGGAACTGATGATCTTAACTCGTACTTGAAAAAGTATCAATTGCATATAAAATCCATCTCAAGAAATGATCTTAAGAGGCAACCACATGTTAGAAAAAAGCTGGAAAAATTTGTAAACAATCAAAATCAGCATTTAGTAAGTCTAGAAGCATTAGAATTGTTAAACAGACTTTTATGTTATGATCATCAAGAAAGACTTACTGCAAGGGAGGCAATGGATCATGCATATTTCTACCCAGTAGTAAAAGAACAGGATATACCATCATCCACAGCAATGTGATATTCCAAAATATGATGCAGTGGATTAAAGGAGCTTCTGTGCTTATAAGACTGAAAGATGTATACTATAAACCAACTTTTATTTGTGTGCGAGAAATATTCTTGAGATTTGCAGCTTACTTATACTTGTGATTGCATGCATGTGTTGTTTGCAGCTACACATAGTCATTTGCTATGACAACTTTATTACCATATATACTCGCCTATAAGTTGGTTTTTTGGGAGTTAAACTCTGGTCCAAAACTCTTTATCCGACTTATACACAAGTTATAAAATGATTGGTATTTTAGTGGGTTAGTCCCTCAAATGTAAGCTTAAAAAATACAACCGACTTATAGGCGGACCGACTTATAGGCGAGTATATACGGTAAACAAAGAAATAAAGTCATGAATATTGCTAATCTTGAATGTGTTTTTCATCAGCAATTTTATTTTTGCTCTGTAACAGTCCCTTCCCTTGTTGAGCTAAAAGCATCTGTGCTTTTTATTTTTGTCAATGATCATGTAACGTAAAGGATCCCTGCTTTTGATAGCACCCAAATATAAGGGTTTGTGAAGAGAATAGCATACTCAGTATCAGAATCCCTTGGCAAACAAAGATGAGCTAAAAGGTAATAGGGATAATCAGATTTTCAGAGTCTAAATCAAGTATGCCTGAGAAAGAAAGAATAATTCCTAAAATTTTGATTATATATCTGAAAAATAAGTATACAAGTCATTTTATACTTCTTCATATAATATAGATGCTTTTTGTCCATTTGAAGACGTTATATTCTCTTGCACCAAAACATATAGAGAGAAGAATAACATAGTAATTACTGGTAACGCAGACTAATTTCATTTTCTGATATCAGTAGCTCAGTTTTTTAGCCTCAAGTGATGGTAGTAATTATAGACATACAAGAGTTTGTTTTTGAGAGACTTTAAATTAACAAGCAAATTCAGGGAATTTATGTCCCCCATTTAAGGTAAAAAGAAGAGCAAGGAAGACCTGGAAAAAATGCAGTTGGAGAAAAAAAATCGACCTTGACCCTTCAGTTTTTGCCTTCGAGGGAAAGAAATTCATGACCTTAAGTTTCATATCAAACACTTTACAGAAGTTGAAAACTACATGTATGTTTGCAATATATGATTTTTTTTACCTTGTCCTTTGACTTCAAATCAACAGGGGCCTTCTTTAAGGCACTTTGACTAAATTTATTGTAAAACCTCAAAGAGAACTCCAATTATTATCAGGGAACCACTTTTTACAAGATATGAATTTTTTATTTTGACCCTTTGACTTCAAAATCAATTGGGGTCTTCTTCTTTAAGTCATTGGGAGTAATGATATAAAATTTAATTGATCTGTAATCCATTTTTTGCAATAATTGAATTCTGATCTCAATACCTTCAGAGTTTTTCTTTAAGTCACAAAGCTCTATGATATGAAATTTTACTGAAAAGACTCGAGGAGAACGAAAGTTATCATTTGAAAATCATTTGTTGTAATATATGAATTTCATACCTTGACCTTTGGCCCCTAATCAATAAGGGTCCTTTTAGGTCACTTGGAGCTATGAAATAAATTTTCATTGAAAAAGCTCAAAGAGAACTAAAGTAATCATCTTAAAACCATTTCTTGCAATATAAGAATTTCTTACTTTGACCTTTGACCTAAAAATTAACAGTGGTCTTTTGTTATACACAAAATATATATACAAAGTGTTATACACAGGCTGAATGACAGACAGACTGAATGAAAAATAGATGAACAGACTCAAATTATCGACCACTTTCCATGAAAGCGGGGGACAATAAATTAACTTCTGCATCTGGAAAATTGCTGTTAGTTATTGTAGATTAAACAAAGCTACCTTAGAATGAGTCTAAAGATTACTGATAGTTTCTAAAATATGAGCAGAGGCGATACTGTTTAGTATATATGGAAAACTTCCAAGACCAGGAGTGCCTTATCTGAAGAAAAGTGGAAAATTGAAAGAAGCATCTGTATGTTCGCATCTTGTAATTCGAAGAACTTAATAGGATCCACCCCCTCAAAACTGATGCCATTAATTGTCTTGCAGGAATGTTCGGGTCTGATAATTTTCCAATTTATGAATTTTAAAATTTTTCATGCATAAAACATGTTTTTGAGTAAAAATGCATTCTATTTGTTTATGTGCTCTCTAATTTTTAAATTATTTCCGATCATAAAAATATGATGGCGCTCTTTGGTCAGCATGTATATTATTTTAAAGAAAATGAGGACTAAGTTTTCATGTGCCATTAAAATCAAACCAAAAACAATTATAAGCAACTTTTTTGGATATATGGGGGTGAGGTGAAGGATAGGGGGCTTCGGTTTTATAAAGCGTTAGTATTAGACCTCTTAAACAAAGAAATATTCTGAGAATAAATTAACTGGAAACAAAACAATAGAGCAAGAGTTCTGGACAAGATGCTCCAAATGAAGAGATTTGATAATTTACCCCCCCCCCCCCCCCAAGTGTAAAAGACAAAGAAAAAAAAGATGTGTTTGTGAAACACTGATGCCCCTGTATGGCAAGGTTAAACTTTCTCAAATGCAAATCAGATATGTTGGTACACAAAGTTGGGTCTTGTATATCTAGGAATATACCTCAGAAATACGAAAGCCCTAGCAGCAACCACTGAAAAGATATGGAAGAGGTTAAAGTTTTAAAGTTTTTCAACAGTAACTCAAACATCAAGGTCAAGGTGCTCAAGGAAAGGCCTTCTCACAAGAAATACACATGTAATATTTGAAAGCCCTAGCACCAACCGTTCAAAAGTAATACCCAAGGTTAAAGTTTTTCAAAAGGAGGTCAAACTCCAAGATCAAGGTCAAAGGGTCAAAGTTGTTGGTATCCAAAGTGGGATTTTGTCACAAGGATAACATATGTGAAGTAGGAAAGCCCTAGCACCAACTTTACAAAAGTAAAGGTTTAAGTTTTACGAAAGTAAGTAAACTCCAAGGTGAAGGTCAATAGGCTATCATTGTTGGTATCCAAAGGAAGGTCTTGTCACAAGGATTATATATGTGAAGTATGAAAACCCTAGCACCAACTGTTCAAAAGTTATGGCCAAGGTTAAAGTTTTCCAAAAGTAGGTCAAACTCCAAGGTCAAAGTCAGAGGTCGAAGTTGTTGGTATCCAAAGGAAGGTCTTGTCACAAGGATTGCATATGTGAAGTATGAAAGCACTGGTACCAACGTTCAAAACTTATGGCCAAGGTTATAGTTTTTCAAAAGTAGGTCAAACTTGAAGATCAAGGACAAAGGGTCAGAGTTGTTGGTGACCAAAGGAAGGTCTTGTCACAAGGACTTCACCTTTGAAGTATAAAAGCCGTACGTAGCACCAACTTTTCAAAAGTTATGGCCAATGTTAAAGTTGGGTAAAATTTTGCAAAACTGGGTCAAACTCGAAGGTCAAGGTCAAAAGGTCAAATATGATGGTACTCAAAGAAAGGTCTTGTCACAAGTAATACACATATGAAATATGAAAGCCATAGCTCCAACCAATAAAAAAAATATGGTCAAGGTTAAAGTTCTTGCGGACAAACAGACAGACGGACGGACAGGGCAAAAACTATATGCCTCCGTATCTTCGATTAAGGGGGCATAAAAAGAGTAGATTTTGTGTACGAGTAGACATCTTTTATACGAGATGATCCAAATACGAATTGGTTTGAGTACGCTTCGACTGGACACCGCCTACTAATAAAAAATTGCGGGAAATAAAAAAAAACGAAACAAAAACAAACATGGATATGTCAGGGTTTGAAAGTGATAACATGAAAAACTGCATGATAGAATCTTGTCTACCTGACTGTGTAAAAACAGAGCCGTGCTGGTTAGGAATTGATGAGGCGGGTAGAGGCCCAGTGCTTGGTATTTATGTCTCCTATGCATTTAGTTTGAATTTCCTCATATATTTTTTTTTAAATAAGTAATTTACGATCTGAGAACTAAACGTGTTGTTTTTATAGGTCCCATGGTGTATGGAATTTGTTTTAGTCCCCTCTCACTTCGAGAAAAATTTGGAGAAATGGGTTTCGCTGGTAAGAATTCTACCAGATAATTACGTATGTAATGTATGTATGTAATGTATGCAACTCTGATACAACTAACATTACAGATTCAAGTTGGAATCGATTGTCCAAACACGATATGATAGCCAGTTTAGATATTAATTTTTGGTAAGCAAGTTCTTCTGTAATCCAGGGCTCAACATTAACTTTTTATCTGAAATTATTACATTTAATGTATATTTATGTGAAATGTCCCAAAAAGCCACCAAATTTAATTTTTCCATTTTTTCTGCATAATAAAGGACTAGGTATGGTGAACGCTGAATATGGCCCTATACGATCAAAAAATCGAAGCACAGTTAAACTTATGATAGTTTGCAATTAAGAACTGTAAATGATGATTGTTTTAAAACTGTTATTAATTTTGATTCATATCATATATGTAGGCCACAAGAGGGTGACAAAGTACAACATTTTACCAAATTTCCTCAATTCAATTTCTCATGCAGTCTGATGGAATTTTGTAAAATTTGAGATTCTTTGAAAAACGGAGAGCACAAGCTTGCCTATCTGCAGCTGAGACTTCACTTGTACACACAAAATGTATCTGATACTTGTGCGTAAAACATATAAATTTCGTAGGTAGGCAATCTGTGCTCTGTGTTTTCTGAAATAAAATAAATGTGCTTTAAAATTGATGAAAATTTGAATAAAAATGAGAAAATTGGGAAATTGATAAATTTTGTGATCTTCCTTTTACTAAGCTTCTTGTATCCTATCACTTAGAATCGATACTCATTTTGTAACTGTCAGGAAAAAGGGTTTTATATTATGAGCTACTGCATCATTCTTAGAGACACCCCCAAACCAGGGGCCAAAAGGGGCTTTAGCCAATCTTGTCCTTAATATCCCAAAGGGTCTATTTATATAACTATGTTTTTTTTTTTTTAAATACATCAGATTCAAAGACTTTAACAGAAACAGAACGTGAAGGAATATTTGAGAAAATCTGTGCTGCCTCGGACATGATGGGTTGGATCGTTGAACTGTTATCCCCAACATTCATATCAAATGGAATGCTTGGAAGGTAAAGCAGAATAATGTAAATGGAGAGGGTGATCGATGTAAGAGATGTTACTTGTCCTACTTTAAGTGCCTATTGACATGAGGAAAATCCAGTGTGTTAAATGCGTCATTAAAATAAAATCTTGTACCTCATAGCCTTTCTTGAGAAGCATTTATATTTGTACCTGTATATACTGCATGTAAATGTAGTTGTTAGGGAAGTCAACACTTATTTCATATCAGGATTGACCCATATATGTGATACTTTCAACTCTCCATGTCCATTTACTCAATTTGTCAGCCACTTGATTTAATTGCAGCTAGGAACTTTCCACGGAAACTCCTTTTATCAAATAATTTAATTGAAAGTCCCATTCAAGTATTTTCTCACTCACTGAAATCACTTATTTTTTTTAAAATTCATCTATCTTAAAACAGGTCAAAATACAACTTAAATGCAATATCGCATGACTGTGCAATACGTCTGATACAACGAGCCCTGGATGTTGGTGCAAATATTGCAGAGGTTTATGTTGACACAGTGGGGGACCCAGCAAAATATCAGGCCAAGTTAAAGAGTCTTTTCCCAAACATTGAGGTCACAGTAGCCAAGAAAGCTGATGCACTGTACCCCATAGTCAGTGCTGCTAGTATATGTGCAAAGGTGAACTAGGTTTAAAGAATTTTAAGAGTACATTTTTGCTTTATTACAAGGGGAAAATGACTATTAAGACGATTTGCATGTGTTTTCCTCTTTACGCAGAAATCAAGTAAATCTATAAAATTTGTGCAATACAGTCTAAGTTACATGTGTAATTTTTATGGAAATAATTTCACAAAATTTTCATGCAAAAGTAAATTCATGCAATATTCATGCAATACGTATGCACAATATTCATAAAAAATTATTTGAAGATCATGCAAGCCAATTTTCCTTGAGTGGTTTATACATACATGTATTACATTATGACATTTTAAGCTCGAGTGTTAATGTGTTATTGTGATCTTACACATTCTTCCTTGTAGTACAATAGTATATCGAACGACATTTATCTATAAATCTGATCCTTGTGCTTGTATAAAATTTGTTATATAGAAAGATATGAATTTTCTTTCATTCAAGGTTTTCTTTTTCTCCAATATACAGGTCTGTAGAGACCGAGCCTTATCTAAGTGGAAATTTCAGGAGGAGATAACTGTTGATGAAGAGGGTTACGGAAGTGGTTACCCGGGAGGTAAAAATATGTATATTTATACTATCCCCTCCCAAGAATTTTGTATTTGGCCTGTGTTTGCATGCATGCCTGTGTTTAGCCATCTTCCCAAGTCAAATGTTTCTGATCATCTCCCCTTTACATGGGAAAATGGCATTCTGGAAGAAGTTCACCATTGTTAAAGCAAAATTGTTTGTTAATCAATCACTTAAATTCTGTAGGTTAACAACTAATAAGAAGATCACAGTTTTGATTTGTTTTTACCAGATATATACACTAAATTTTCAACATGAAATATAGAAAGCATTTATTTGAATTTTCTATACAGATCCAAAAACCAAGAAGTTTTTGTCAGATAGCATGGACAAAGTTTTTGGGTTTCCACAGTTTGTTCGCTTCGGATGGTCAACAGCTGCAGTAATGGTTCAAAAAAGTTGTGTTCAGGTTCAATGGTAATGACACCTCACCATCATTTTGAAGAAATTCTGTCAACCAATGAAAAATAAAGTTGATTAACCTAAAACCTAATTTATTCATTATGTATGAAACACTGTAAAATAATCAGTCAAATGTTTAAGGCATGTTTGCAGAATCTTGCATACGCTTGTGAATAAAATATTGAGCTAGTTTTAAAAGACAGGATTTCTGAAAGGAAGAAGATATTGGAAATACCCACTCTCAGTAATAATATATTTTGAATAAAAATCATATTGAGCTAAGTTTTAAAAAGACAGAATTTCTGAAAGGAACAAGATATTGGAAATATCCTCTCTCAGTAATTAATATAATTTGAATAAAATAAAGTAGGAAAAATTTAGTATTAAAAAGAGGTAATAAAACTGAATATTTTCTTTTCTTTGAAATATTCCATTTGTTTCTTTAACAAACTTGTCAAGTCATGCATCCATTTTGTTAGATTTTAGAAATGGCTTTTTTTTTCTTCCAGGGAAGACGATGAAGAAGACGAAGAAAAAGATTCTGTTAAGTTAACATCTTTCTTTCAAAAGAAAGGTCATGACCCAAAACTAGATAGACATTCATACTTCAAGGACAGGTGCCTTGGCTCTGTAGAATCATTTTGATTATTGTTTATGTAAATATCAGTAATTAAATTATGATTTAAAAAAAAGAATTGTTTTTGTCTTTCATTAAAGATGTTTGTCAGTTTGGTAAAATAATTTATTTAAAAAAATAAAATAAAAAAATGAATTCTTATTCATGGTTGTAAATTCAATGAGGGATGAATGCTTTCAGAATTGTAAAAACAACCAATGAATCATCAATATACATGTATTAAGAAACTGATTCTGTATTTTTCGTTTTTTTAATTGGCGATAAATTACAAACAGTGAATGATATACAATGTAGTGCATAATACATCCATTGTCATTGAGAACCAAATCTATTTTAACTTGCATACAATTGAAACACTTAAGAAAAATGAACAAGGCACTAAATACATGTAGTTTGCAATGACCCTTGCACACACAGCTATGAGCACACATGAGAACAAAATGATATTTTTCATTCTTTTATAAGAATAATAACAGTATATACCATGTCTGTTTTTATCCTGGCAATGAAATGGTAATTTATAATTAATTTTTTCAAAAGGATAGCTATAATTATCATTCAGTCATCTTTCTAAGTTTCATTATTATTTTCATCATCATCTTCTGTCTCCTCTTCATCATCATTTGAACATTCATCCTCAATCTCATCTTGTCCACTCGTGAGATCATCGTTACTCTGGATGCCATTTATTCCACTTTGTCCAATCATAATGTAATCAAGTCCCTGCAAAGCATATGTTTATACATGTATAATAATTATACTGGGACTCTGACCAGTTGTTATGGAATATTTGCTGTAAAATACTTAAACATTTAATTTATAGAATCCGTCAGAAGTGATTTTTTTTTTTAGGGGGGTGGCAGTTGCAAAATCTTCTCCAAAGATTGATGTCAGTGGTAACAATTCTTGTAAGCTTTTTTGGATGACCTGGTCATAGGATATGAGCTTCAAACGTCAAACATAGATATGCTAGACACATTATTTTGAATATAATAAATTTATATTTTATGTTGACCTTGATCGGTTTTGTTTTGGAAATGAATTGCAGGGCCATGCTTCTACCTGTATCTGATCACAACAGCTGCTACATGTATTTCATTTCATTGGACTGTAATTTTTTTTGCAATTCTGTCTGGGTAAGTGTAGGTCATGATTATTATGTTCACTGGATTAGGGTCAGACCTACACATTGACACCCTTCACATCTATTATTAATTAGAAATATATTATGAACACAGTATCCCTAGCCCTTGGTCATTCAATTTACTTTAAATACCCTCCCTCTTATGCCTTATTATTAAATGCAATCTCCCTTATCCAGTTTTTCATCTTCAACACCATCCCACTTTTCTAATCCTTCAATCAACCCCCCCCCCCCCCCCCCCCCCATACACACACCATCTATTTTATTACATAGCTTTCCCTTTTCTACTTATTTCAAATCAGTCAATGAAGAAAAATTCTTTTTGTCTAAAATATTTCTTATAAAAGTCTACATGTATCTAGAGGAATTAGAAAAAAAAATTTTTCTATTACAAGATATTTGAAAGAAGCTTACCTTCCAATGCGGGGGTTTTTCCTTGATTTCATTGTCTCTGAGATCAAATTTAGTAAGTTTGGATAATGCAAGTATTGTGTCATCTTTGACTTCTTTTACAAAATTATTCTTCATTAAAAGACAGGTGAGGTTTGGAAGTTCAGAAACTGAATCTGGTACTTCACTAATTTGATTCTGATTTAAATTTAAATGAGTCAAACTTTTTAAATTATAGAAAGATTTCGGTAAAAATCTTATTGTATTTTCTGACAAGCACAACCAAGATAAATTTTCCAACTGTGTGAAACTGGGAGGAAGAGATTCTAAAAAGTTTTCACGAACACTTAATTTCCTCAGATATTTCAAGCTTCCAATGTTGGATGGCAGGTTAACCAGCTGGCAATCCACAATCCATAGCTGATGAAGACTGCTTAGCTGACAAATCTCCTCAGGTAGAACACTTAGTGGGTTATGACACAAATTCAGGTAAGTTAGATTTGTGAGTTTGCACAGTCCCGTTGGTAGCAAAGTCAGTTTGTTGTTATCAAGGACAAGTTCTTCCAATTTGACTAGATCAGTTAATTCTGATGGGGGCATCATTATCTGATTGTCATTCAATAAAAGACGTTTTACATTTTTCAATTTCTTAAAGCTGCTCGACAGAACAGCAATATTTCTATGACTTAGATTAATTGTCTCATGACCACTTGCAATCGCTTTTTGCAAAATTTCTTCCACTGCTAAAAGGTCCATCTTGTGACTGCATTTCTGCAATGAAATATGTTCAAATGTCAATTATTCATCACAAAATCCAATAATCTCAAAAGTGCTGCAATTTCTCATTGAAGCATAATTATTAATTAAGACATGATTAAGAAAAATCCTGATATGATCAAGAAGAAAGTCTTTATTGTCTGCGTAAGCGGATCAAACGATCTCCTGATTTTTGCTCAAAAGTTTTTTTCTGAGGAAATTCGAGACTATTGAGTTAGTCTGATAAAAGAATATAAGTTCAGTCAAAGGATTCATATTTACGTACTAATCATAAAGCTTTCTAGAGAGTCTAATGAGTCATTATTAATATGAAAACAATGGCACAAACCTGCACTATGAAAACATATCACATTTTAAGGCGTCGTAAATACCATGAGAACCAAGCAGATGCAGTTTCTCGTTTTCTTTCGAAGAAGAGTTCAATTCCTTATATCATTTAAAAGCGTTATTTTAGGTGTTTATTTCTCTATCTGAAATTCAATGAGATAAAATATACACTTAGTATGAAAATTATTTATTAAGATTTTATATCTGATATGAATATTTAATGAATTTTACTGACATTTCAAAAGATACTAAATAAATTGGGTTGATGGTAGGGGCCTACTTTCACTTTGACTTTTTCCCAACTGTCGTCTTGCTTCATGTTACTGGCTTACCTACCAGTAACAATAACAATAGTAGGCCTGTTGCACACCAGTCGTGCTCAGAATCTTGATGGAGAGCCAGGTTTGTCCTGCTAGGGTATTTTCAGTGCTGAACAGCCTAATTAATAATCATACTCATATCTTGATCATGAACAATTTGTGAGATTTGATTTGTTTTGGATGGAGCAGAGATATCTATCAGTTTATGTATCTGGGATATAGTGAAATTAACTTAAAAGTAATTTAGTAATGCATTGGGATTTAGGTTAGATGTTTGATTATTGATAAATTGGCTAGAATAGGCACCAGGCAGATTGATGGAGGTTACAGTACACTTGTAACGGACAGTGGATTTCGACCTGGGTAGCTCAGGCAGTAGAGCACCTGAATAGTTATGCAGGGGTCCCGGGTTCGATTCCCGGTTCAGCCATACATTTTCTCCTTTACTATTACAGATTTGGTGCCGTTGACCACCCCTGGACTTGCAGTTGAAAGTTCTGCCAGGGGCTAAAAAGAACTTGGGTTGTGTCTTCAAGGGCAAAGACAATTTAAGGAGGGAGGAATGTAATGGTTTGGGCCGTGGATATCGGCCTAGGTAGCTCAGTCGGTAGAGCACCTGACTAGTGATGCAGGGGTCCCGGGTTCGATTCCTGGTCCAGCCATACATTTTCTCCCTTCCTATTACAGATTTGGTGCGTTGACCACCCCTGAACTTGCAGGTGAAAGTCCTGCCAGGGGCTAATAAGAACTTGGGTTGTGTCTTCGAGGGCAAAGACAATTTAAGGAGGGAGGAATGTAATGGTTTCGGCCTGGGTAGCTCAGTCAGTAGTGCACCTGACTAGTGATGCAGGGGTCCCTATTCCCGGTCCAACCATACATTTTCTCCCTTCCTGTTACACACTCATAAAAGTATGCTCTTTGTGATCGGATTCAGCCAAACAGAGTTGATCCCATGTGAGGCATCCGGAAAATAAAACCATTAGCACAAACTGACGCGAAGTACTTTAAAATTGTTTACTATGTACTGCCAGCTTCATGTAAATCTATCATTGAACATATTAAGTACAAAGGAGATTTTTTTCAAACAAATGCTTTAAGATGCAACATTTATACAGTTACATAGTCACTGTGATAGGTTTATGTTTTCTTGCACAAGAATTCCATTAACTTCTGAAACTGAAGTACACCCTTTCCTTTTAAATTTTATTCATTCAATGTTGTTTCGAGTATGTTCAACTCGTACATTACTATATTCATTTATTATGTATTTGACTGAAGTTTTCTGTGCCATTTCATAGGCCACAAAATAGACATCTGAATATTACACTTCCAGATCAATTCCTTTAAATGGAGTACTTATTTTTCAATGTTTTTCATTTCTTTTAAGCATGAGTAATATTCTCTCTATCTTTTTTACTCTGTAGATTACACAAAAATTTTGTATGGTGGGGTTTTGCGAGTAGAAGAACATGAGGACTCCATTAAAGAAAGTCAAGATGTTATTCAGGTGATTTGCAGTGACGACAATTGAAATATATTGGGAATTAATAAAGATATATATTCTAGAAATAGATTATGATTTATTCAAATCAAACCATCAAGAAAAAAATCAACATTTTTGCTGAAAGGGAAACCCACAGATCGGCTGAGCATGCCTACCAGCTTACTAAAGCTCTTCGTTCTGGAGATTTCAACGCTACTGAAAACATCCGTATTGCTCCAACAGCTCTGGAGGCTAAGAGAATAGGAGATAAAGTGAAGATTCCAGAAAAGTGGCAAGATCAAAAACAAACGGTAATGGAGGAGATTATCCATGCTAAAGCTACACAGGTACCAGAACTTCGCGAGAAACTGGAAAATTCAGATGCTAGCACATTATTCGCCGAAGCCACAAACGATATCTTCTGGGGAACCGGACTTTATCCAGAAGCCACCCTCCATACAAATCCGGATAAATGGCCGGGTGAGAACAGACTAGGCACGGTTTTGAGTAAAATAGCATCAAACTTTACCAGGAAACTCAGAAGTAACTCACTACAAAGGAAGAATACAGACGATAACCAGACTAATCTGGACGGCTTCATTCGAGAGGCAAGACGAAACTCTAACAGGAAGAGAAATGTAAAGGACCAGGGGTAATTAAGCATATCTATATAGCTTCATGTAAATGGGGACAAATCTACTATCATTCTATTCTATAAATGCACGAGGTTTAAATACTTATGGGAAAAGGATTTTGTTGTTTGAATGGCTCAAAGATGCAAATTTTGACATAATTTGTTTGCAAGAAACACATTTTGTTGAAACAAGTGAAGCAATCTATAATTCACGTTGGTATGGATATAAAATTCATAGTTTTTCTAATTCGGTATATAGTAGAGGTGTATCGATTTTATTTAAAGAAAATCTTGACATTGAAATACTAGATAAACATTCTTCTATTGATGGTAGAAAATTATTGGTAAATGTTAAATTATCTGAACAAATTTTAAGTTTGGCCAATTTTTATGCGCCAAATAATGAAAATGAGAAGAGTATATTTTTACATAAAATGTTGAAATGGGTCAATAAACATGCTATGAATTTAGATAACTTAATAGTATGCGGAGATTTCAACTGTCAAATAGATATCATCGAAAATAATAGAAATGTAAAGGCTTTAAGAAACTTTATGAAATCATTTAATTTGATCGACTGTTGGTCCTTCAGTGATAAAAATAACGAACAGGGATACACATGGTGTGATGCGGACAATAATCCCAAATCTAGAATTGATTATGTATTTATGGCAGAAAGTTTCTGCTTTAGATTTAATCAAATTTTATTAAGAAAAGCTCCTAATTATGACGGGACAAGATTTAGTGACCACTTAGGTTTATACTTTGATTTCTGTACAACAGAAAATATTAGAGGGAGTGGTTATTGGAAAATGAATACGTCACTTTTAAACAAAGAAAAATTTTGCAATGAAATAAGAAACTTCATTAAAAAAGAAATATCTAGATTACATGATCATGACCCCATCGCTAAATGGGAATGCCTGAAAATATCAATTAAAAATTTGACAATAGCCTATTCTAAAGAAAATGCAATTTCCAAAAAAAAGCGAATTAATTTTATTGAGAATCAAATTAAAATATTGGAAAATAAACCCTATTCTCACATAAATATGAGATATAAACGACAACTTGAAAATGAAATTGATGAATTCTATGCACAAAAATGTAAAGGGGCTTACATAAGATCGAGGGCCATCTGGATGGAAAAGGGCGAAAAAAGTACTGCATATTTTTTAAATCTAGAAAAAAAGCAACAGGGCGACAATACAATTAATAAAGTTACTAATGACGATAATATTGTCTATCAAGAAAATGATGATATTATGAAAGCTTTAGTCGATTTCTATAATACATTATATAAGAGTAAAAGAATTTGTGATCACGATATCGAAAAATACCTTGAAAATATTGAATGTCCGAAAATTAGCGAAAATGAGAAAAATAATTGCGATAAGTTACCGACAATGTTTGAGTGTAAGGAAGCTATTAGTCATATGAAAAATAACAAATCTCCTGGATCAGATGGACTTCCAGCAGAATTTTATAAAATGTTCTGGAATGATATTAAAGATATATACTTCTCATGCTTAATTAAAAGTATTGAAACTGGAATTCTACCATTTTCACAACGAGACGCAATAATCTCCCTAATTTACAAAAAAGGTGAAAAAGATAAATTAAAAAACTATAGACCGATAAGTCTTACAAATGTGGATTATAAAATTTTTGCACAAATTTTAGCCTTACGATTACAGCTAGTTGCTAAAAATATTATAGGAAAAGAACAAAGTGCATATATCAAAGGAAGATACATCGGAGAAAATGCGAGACTGATACTTGACATATATGAGCACTGTATGAATCATGATCTTGATGGCATATTGTTATTTTTAGATTTCGAAAAAGCATTTGACTCTGTTGAGTATAACTTCATGTTCAAAACATTAAGTAAATTTAACTTTGGAGAACACTTTATTGACATGATCAAAACTCTGTATAATAATCCTACTTTCAAAATTAAAAATAACGGATGGATTTCAAAATCTTGCTCTATGGAAAGGGGAATACGTCAAGGATGTCCGGTGTCTGCACTTCTCTTCATTTTCGTATTAGAAACACTTGCTATCCAAATTAGAAATAACAAAAATATACATGGTCTATCATTTAATGAAAATGCTTCAAAAAACATCAAGATAGTTCAACATGCTGATGACTGTACAAATGCATTAAAAGATACCAACTCATTGGCAACTACTTTAGATATTATTCACCAATTTAGTAAAGTTGCTGGTCCGAAACTAAACTTATCTAAAACTGAATGCATTTTAACTGGTTCCTTAATTGATAAGTACTGCAACAATGATGACTTATTTGGTGTAAAAATCGCAACTGAAAGTGTTAAATCTCTTGGAATATACTTAGGTCATAATAAAGACGTGTGTTATGAAAAAAACTGGCTAAGCAAACTTGAAAAACTTGAAAAAATCCTAAGTGTTTGGCGAAAACGCAAATTAACAATATTTGGAAAATGCACAATAATCAATACTTTAGCAATATCAAAGCTTGTGTATAATGCATTTATTTTACCTAATCCTGACAAAGACTTCTTTAAAAGGGTTTCAAAAATCATTTTCAACTTTCTATGGAACAAAAGAGAGAGAATTAAACGAAATACTTTGATTGGTAAAATTGAACAAGGAGGAATAGGGATAATTGATGTTGAAAGTAAATTTTCTGCTGCAAAAGCTTCTTGGGTAAGAAGAATTTTAGATAAAAATACAATCACGCACTTTACTTTAAACAGTCTATTAGAAAATAGTAATTTATCAATACATGATATTATTAAAACAACGAGTTATAACTTGGATGATAAAAAATTTTGGGAACTGACTAATTTCCCGCAATTTTATGTGGAAGTTTTCTCAATGCTTAATAAGTGTAAAAAATTCAAGCAAAGCAACAGTATTTTGAAGGAAGAATTTTTATCCCAATTTATCTGGCACAATAATTTGTTCCGATATGATTCCAAAACTTTATGTTTTGAACAATGGATCAAGAGTGGTATATTGTATGTGAAAGATCTTTTTGATGAAAATGGTGAAATACATGCACTAGATTACTTTTGGGATAAATTAAGAAGTAAAAACAATATTTACTGTGAATATATCATGCTCAAAAAGACGCTGAGACCTTTCAAATCAAAACTTGATTGTTCCTATGCAAAATATATTAACATCCATAATAATGACTCGTTTTTGTTTAGAAACAACTGTTTTAAGTCGACCAAAACTTTAAAAAGTGATTTTTACTACTCGGTCTTAGTTCAGTCAAAATTTCATAATTCAATTTATGAGAATAAGTGGAATAAATATTTTAACATAGATGATAAAACATTATGGAAGAATATATACATTTCAAAAATTCTCAATATGTATGACAAAAAGATTGCAGAATTCAACTACAAGCTGCTTAATTGTCTGTTAAATACTAATGCAAGTGTAAGTAAATGGAATAAAGATGTATCGCCAATGTGTGAGCTATGCAATGTATTAGAAGATAGTGAACATCTTCTATTTTCCTGTGCAATTACCAATTTTTTATGGCGAAAAACTAGTATATTTTTAAAATTTAATGTTTCATGGAAACGTATTTTGTTGGGATTTTACGGTGAATTATCAGAAAAAACATGTATTTTGAATAATCTAATTTCATTTCTTTGTTTTACTATATATAAGTATAAAATGAAGAGTCGATTCAATAATGAAAGAATGTCAGAAGATAAATTGAAATCTTATGTTAAAAACTGTCTCATTTTACAAAATTCTATTGTGAGAAAATGTGGCAAAATAGGAAATAACTTATATAGTGATGTAGCAAATTGTTTGTAGAAAAAAAAATCTTATGTTACGCTAATTATGGAGTAGACATTTGTATATCCAACACATGAGGAAAACAGTCCTCAGGTGTGGTAGCTAGGGGTCCTCATTATGGACAGTGCTGGTGTTGAATAAGACCCCTTTAGCTACCCGGATTCAATACTTTTTTTTCCTATATATATATACATTGTATATCCTTTAAATCAATTTATACGTGTTTTAAAAAAAAAAAAAGTTTGCTGAAAAAAACCCACACTGTTTTGATTAAAGAAAATGCTGTAAAAGTAATAGAATGCTTATTAGACAGGTATGATGCATATTTTTTTTTTTCTCTCTCTCTGCAGAAGTACATGTATTATAATTCTGATATGTCATAAAAATACTAATTGTAATGTATAATATAATCTTTGCCCAATATGTTGTATGTTGCATATATTTTTAATAAAAGAAAAAAAAAAACATTTTTGCTGAAAGACAGGGGTCTTTTAAAGATACTGAGAATATCATGTGTGTATTGAATACAAAATAAATGCTAGCTGTTATATATGTAAAGACCATCAGAAATTTTTTTTTAATGTAAAATTTTATTTCATTTTGGACTTAATTTTGAAAATTTACATGGATAACACCCCGCCGAAATAGGTTTTTCACGTTTAGGAAAGGAGTTTACGTTTTTGTTTAACAACCTTGTATTAAAGGAAAAAAGAATATAAAGAATTAAATTTCTTTAAAATTATAAAGTTAGTGCATACATTAAATTTAAAGTTTGATTATTTTAGTTTGCAGTCTTCTTTGTCAAGAGAAGATACCCTATCTGTGAAACACCAAAGAAAGAATCAAGAAAAGTTTCAACTGTGGAAAAACTGGCAAGATTTGATTAACACATGCAATAATTAAGACTAGAAAGCATATTTATAAAACAAGTTAGTGCAATAAACTATTTAAAAAAAAATATTTACATTTCCAAAATCTTTGTCCAAAATAAAATTTCAAATAGTAAAAATACTTTATTTCTACATAAATCTACTGGTTCATTGATAGGCGTGGTAAAAAAAAAAATCATGTGCGGGGCAGGACAAATAGAGACAGAAGCGGGGCTTGTAGCATGTGAATTTGCAGAATCAAGAGCATGTAAATATAAGGAATAACTGTCAGATTTTTTGGTTTCATGACGATGTTCAATCGATTGGCTTGCGTGATAATTTTATGCATAAACACCTTCGGCGTTTATGCAAATTATCACGCAAGCCAATCGATTGATCACATAATGAAACCAAAAAATTAGACAGTTATTCCTTAATTCCACACAATTTGAATGTCAGAGATTTTCTTTATCTTTGCAGACTTTGTTTTACACCAATAATGAGGAAATTCCATACCTAGTGAATGTTTCGGGCACTTTCCAACCTTTAGTCTTTGGAACACTCCAAGATTTCTCTCTGTGGTGGACTTGTGGCAGGAATGTTACCCTCCACAATTTCACCATTGCCACATACCCAAAAGAAACACACCATGTGTATTCCCATACCTTTATGAAAGTTTCTGATTTAGGAAACTTTACAGCCCCACTGGAGGTTGATGAAAGATTGGAACAGAGAAGTATAGAGGATCCATGTTGTAGAAAAACATGGATTCCATCGGATTTTGTGATGTACAGATGCAGTAAGTCATGTAAATTAAAGTGTGTGGAACCTTTCAGTGTTATGACTTACAATATTTGGAACATGAACACCTTTACAAAGATTGACCAGGACTACCCTGCAAGGTTCAGACGTCTTGCAAAAGTAAATTAAGTTGCTCAAAATTCACTTGTTTAATTTTTAATTGTTGATTGTTCAATAATTCAAATGTTTATTCACTTAAGTGACACAGTCTAATTGTAATGTTTTCTTAGCATTTCATTTTCAAAAGAAATTTTGTGTTACAAATATTAATTACAATGTTTTGTAATCGTTTTGGAGATATTTTTGGAGACAATCTATGGAGAAATGTTTTATTTCTATCAAAATAACATTCCAGGCTTGTAATATTTATCTTCATGGAAATTTGAACATTGAATCAAAATAATAACTTCTCAGACTAGTAGAGAGAGGTTATTTTTTATCTTTGTATAAATAAACTTATGAAGTAAAAATGGATTTCAGTTTGTGTATGCCCCTGGACAGCTGGATAAATACAGTGTGTATAATGGAAAAACAGAAGAGGGCGTGGCCGTGTTCTCCAGATTCCCAATCATTGCTCAAAATACATTCCTTTTATTCAGGTAAACTATTTTTTACATTATAGTGACTGTCTGAAAGCCTAAGATTAGATGTTTGTTTGCTAACATTTCTTTAATTTTCAAAGGTACAGTTAAACTTCATTACCTCAAACTCAAATTGGACCGAGAAAAAAACTTTGAGATACCTGAGGATTTGAGATATCAGGGGTAAATGCTTAAAGAAAAAGCAATTGGGACTTCCAGATTACTTTGACATATCTGTGGTATTCAAGATATCAGTGTTTGAGATATGGAAGTTCAACTGTATTTGTATTGGATTGTGTGTCTTTTTCTGATAGAAAGATGTAGTGTTATACACTACTTTCAGAAATCGTAGTAACAGTGCTGATCTCCACCAGAGAGTTTGTCTCCATGTCACCATACAGCATCCTCATCATGGAGTGGTAAACTAATTTATTATACTCATGCAATGTCACAAATACCATTAAAAAGTTTGGAGGAAACATGCATATTTGTCTGCATAAAATACTTCATCTGATTATACAACATACAGCTACTTAATTTTATTATCAAAATAGTGTCTCATATGCCATCTTAGACAAGATGGCCATGTATATTGTGTGTGTGTGAGGGTGTGTGTGTTTTTTCAATGTGTGAATGTATGTAACATAGCATGTGACACTTAGACTTGAAATTAATGAGGCAATTATTCTAAATTTTATTTTTATCATTATGGGTACTTAAAAGTTAAGTTTCTAGCAATTGAAATACCATAAATGAACTTCTATTTGCATGTGAGAAGTATCTTTGAGTTTTGCAAATTTGTACATACCTTTTACTTGTGAATATTTCTTGCTGGAAATCATTTATTTGTGTATTTATGTAGAAGTCACACAGAAAATATTAAATATTGCATAGGTCTCTGTGATGATGTCCTTATTGTCATCCTGACCTACATTTCTGTGTTTCTGACCTTGATTTTTTTTCAGATTCACTTTCTGACCACACACTTATCATTAAGTCATGAGGCCAGGGAGGAGTCTGTAGTTCAGATCTGGAGGTACCTCAGGGGCCTCAGAGGTCCTGTTATCCTAACAGGGGACTTTAATGCAGAACCTCAGGAAAAAGCAATGAGGTGATTATCAAGGAAAAGATAAGCTATAACAAAAAGAATCCAATATTCATTAGATACATACAGCTTAATCCTATACATACAGATTTAAATATAACTTTTCCATTATTAATGAAAGCTATGAAGTTTTATTTGTTACCAGTAATAATAATACAAACATTTCACATTCACGTTCTTTTAGATTTCTAAGAGGTGAAGTATCACTGAAAGGAGAGAAGACATCTTGTTTGGTGGATGTGTGGCCCTATGTTTATCCCAAGTCACACGGCTTCACCTTTAACAGTGCTGAAGGAAAACTGAAGAAAAGGGTATGTATTGTTTATCCACATCTTAATGTATTAATGTGTGAGGATTGTTTATTGTTTCCTATACTTTATTTTGACCTTTTACATTGCTATGAGAACAAATCACTCTCTTTAAGGAAAGAATTGATTTGGGCAATAAATAATTGTTTTAATATTTTATATTGTAGATTGATTACATTTTTAAGTGGAATCTTGATAAAGATTTTCAAGTCAGCAATGTAGAGATTGATCAACACTCAGGAAAAGGGTATGTGTCAACTTTTTTTAATATAATTGTTAAAATATTGAAATCATATAATTTTAGTTTAAGTATACATTTCATGTGGCATTGTGATGAAATTGGTAATTGTTAAATCTTTCTTTTTTCTCTTCTTTTTTTTTAGACAAAAAGCTGCATCTGATCACCTGCCTGTTGTGGCGACATTTTGTTGAATTCACACATACATTTAGTAGATGATTGAGTGAAATCAAGTTTATTGATGTTTTTAAAGAATTGATTAAATACTTTTGTAACATTTATGATATTATTTGCAATTCAAGCTTTGCATTCAAAGGAGATGGATGAAGAAGGCAGCATGCAAAAAGCCTATAGTTCAAATGTATAAAAATCATATACAGTTTGTGAATTTAGTATATAGATTGAAGTCCTTCCATCACTGATATTTATGGAATTATGACAAAACTTTTCTTTGGAAAATTTGCCTCAGCAGAATATTTCTATATTTAAAAAATCAATGTGGTATTTGTGTGGTTCGAACTCAAGCAATAAAAATCCTAGTATCATTTTTCTTTGAGACTAGTTAACATGTTAACCACTGTTCTACACAACAGTTGACAAATAATGGTAAATCAAGTTTGTGATATAACCCTTGACTAAATGGACTTGCAATATTTCTCAGAAAGATACAAATGTTGTGTCACATAAGTGTATTTTTAAGGTATATTGACCAAAAATTTATATTTTTACGCATACTTTGAGGATAAACTTTCAAAAAAATGGAGAGAAGACCGACTCATATGGAAAGCTGTGTTAGTGTATGAAGAAATCATTTTTGACATAGCCTCTTTAGTGTGTGTATGCTATTTCGTAGATGAATAATTTTAAATTTTGTGAGATTTTTGCAAGTTGTGGAGATTTTACATGTAGTATACATTAATGTTAGATGAAATATCAAAGGAGTTTTGTTAAAATTGAGATTTAATTTTTTCACCTTCTTATTTGTCACATCATAAGCATTTTTCTCACCTTATTCGCCCATCTTCTTTCATTTTATTCAACTTAATGTTGCAATAGCAATTTTAAATTTTCAAGTTTTAAAATAACTTGTAAAGATTGTATGTGCAATAAATTTTTCAAATTTTAAATCATGTCTGCTTTTTGTTTTGAAACAATATTTATTGTACCTTGTATTATAATTTGTGTAAAGGAAAACTTGCAAGACATAAAAGAAAACTTATTAGGCCATCTTTAAAAAATTGTTTGTTTGCCCTCTCCTGACCAACTTGCTAAACATGGCCCAACTCAAAACTTTTTATGACCTCCAGGAAACGATTACTTTTTTTTTTGTTTATTCACTCCAAAGTTTTCTCACCCCATTAAGAACTATTTTAACTTCATATTTGCAAGTAAATTTGAATAAAAGAAATTTTGCCCCAACCTACCTACTCAATTTTTTTACACTGAGTCAGGAGAGGGCAAAGAAACATTTTTAAAGATGGCTATAAAGAAAACTTATTAAAACCTGTTCTAAAACAAATGAAATATGTACAGTGATTATGAAAGAATGAACGAAGTCATCTGTATCCACACGCACACACACATCCTGAGCAGAATATCCAGATATTATGTTAAGTGCTAAATAATGTCAAACACCAAGAAATGTACCTTTGCTGTGAAGTGCAATTTTCTATGCAACTGAAATAAAATTGCCTCCTTTTCCATAATTAGGTTGGAGAAATTTTTACAGCTTCAAGTTCAATTTCTCTCAAAATTACCGTTTTTAATACACCCATTTATCAATCATAACCATAAATCCATTTTCAACCTTTCATAAACAGTGAGTACTTCATGTCTTTCTTGCAAGTAACATTTAAAACAAAATCATTTGCTGTAATTAAAGAAGAGTTCAAGAAATTGCAATGTTTTCAATTTTACAAAATATTGGTGCATTTTAGAACATTAATTATGATACTTTACTTAAACACAACACTTTATATAACAAAAAAATATACAAAGTACACCTTAAGGCACCCCACAAAGCTAGGAGTACCAAGACGAATGAACACCTTCAGGATCTTTGAGAGGGAGGGAGAATGATAATAGTTACAACTATGCAAATCAGCTGCAAATGTGGAAATCTGCAATTTCGGGGGACTCAAGATCTACCAATATGCAAATTCGGGGGACTCAAGATCTACCAGGCGAAATCCAAGTGTGCATCTTGTGAGAGACCGGAAGAACGCACAACAACAGCTTGTCAGACGGAGAAGGACCACACTCTGGACCAACACCATGGAAATGAGAGTCTCCAACAACTGTTTCAAATCATGGAGACAAGAGGGAATCAAACGACAGATCAGGAGTTACTTAAGAAAACACTTCAGACGATGGGAGAATAAAATCAAATGACCTAAATGAGCAGCAGTAATTGGGAGAAGTTTGAAGAAGAAAATGGACAGGCATCAAGAAATGATACAGGACCAGGATAAGAAATTGGAGAGCATGACAAAAATGATATATATCATAGCCAAGGACGGATTTGGAGTGGAAGGGAAACAACAAGTTGATCATCGAAATAGAAGAAAGAGGAAATCGTAAACATCTGCAGGGAGCTCCGAACACTCGCAAATAGGTACAAGGGAGGCAGTATCGACTGACGAAGAAAGAAAAGGCTCGGTAAACTTAGTTAGAAATGACCCAGAAGAGATTAAGAATTCAGGAATACAGAGAGAATAGGAAAAAAATTTAGAGAGGAACAGAATTCGAAAGAGTGCAGTTTTTATTAAAAAAATCCTTACAAGTTTTCATCAAGTCGCTATAGGGAAAGAGATCCAGAAAACTTCCTAAACCTAGAGAAGAGGATGAAGCATACTTAAAGGAGACCAAAGATTTATCACTCGGTGAGAACAACAGAATAGAGGCTGTGTTATCACCCCAGATACCTCTAGGCAACAAAGAACCAACACTGTAAAAAAAAAAACGGTATGACATACAAGGTCTACAAGAAGCGTCCATAACTTCTCAATAGGGTATGGAGACTAATGGGAGTCATTTGGAGGAAAGGTAACCAGGCATATAGCAGATACTAGTATTTGCTTCGAACCTAAGGAGGAGAGCTCTGCAGAGAATGACTAGTCTCCAGGACTTTATCACTAAAGTGGAACTAATCGTTGTCTGGTTGGATCTGGTGAACGCCTGAGATACAGTTCTATATAAACTCATCGAAACAGCACTTGGTGATTAGTACTATATACCAGAGGGGACTGTTTGTCAACTTGAAGGATCCATATCAGATTTAGAGAGGTAGACTACATAAAATAATGACAACGGCTCGAGAAAAAGCATAGTTACATGATGTGCTATATATAGATCTGTAGTCCTTTTTGTCATGGCAATAAATCTTTTGATAGAGGCAGGGAGAAGAGAAATGAGAGGGACAAAAGACCAAGGCAGTCTTCAGACAGCCACCAAGCAGAGGCTTCACTTAATTAATTTAACCACCACCACGACAACACACATATATGTTAGATGGGTACTCATGGAGGAATTTGTTATGGTGAAGGCGACTTGTCTGGTTGTATGAAATGACATTTCACCCAAATATTCACGCTGAAGATCTAGGGCGAAGCTATACCATCATCTTTTAAAACCCCATAAAATGCCTAAGCAAATGGTATGACGATACTCTGAAAGACATCAGCAACAGCAGAGGATTAAAACAGGACACAACAGAGAGCCTTGTCAACATCCTGCCAGGGAAATTTGAGGTGTTGATCTTCCAGCAAGGACTCCTACTAAAACTAACCTGACCATTTATGCTTTATCATTTTACCTTAACAACTGTAGAGGGCATAAAGAGAAAAAGACAGCCAGTATCTCCGACAATTGATGGAAGAGTGCTTTCATCGATTGGACTTAACAGCATGATCACCAAGCTGCGTTTACATCTTGCATCAGTGGCAGAAGAATTTGAAACTCGGAAGGCTTGTCTCGTTATGGCCCTCGACGACTCCAGTGACCAAAAATAAGAGAACCCATAAACAGTCGGAACAAAAGTGGAAAGCAATTAAGTGATGCAGTGTCAGAAGCAGAATCAGGACTTTGCAGTAAAGACATTGTCGGTACCATATTTAATGGGAGATAAGTGTAGGTATTCAGTTGTTACAGTAAAGGAGAAAATTTATGACTGGACCAGGAATCGGACCTGGGACCCCTGTATCACTAGTCAGGTGCTCTACCAACTGATCTATACATGCCAATATCCACGGCCCAAATCATTACACAGTTAACAACAACATGGGATGGGGCATCATCAGAGATAAGGAAACGAATCCAGAAAGAGATAAAAGAAGAAGAAGAGACAAGTTACGTTAAACAGTAGAGACGAGAAGCCAGGAAACCATTCTTTAAATTCAAATACCGGTATCTCATACTGATAATGATGTAATTGTATAATTTACATTCCACACGTATTTTTCTTGTAAAGTGTGTGAAAAGCTACTTCATTCAAAACACAGTAACAAGGACGGGGAGGTCAAAAGGTTGAAGTATGAATTTTATTTTGATGTCACAAGCGTTGAACGCCGTGCGAGTGCAACGTCACAAGCGAAAATGAAAATTCACGCTCACAGTGAATAGTCTGACGGTAGAAGCTGTTGCGATGGCTCTTACAGTAATTGTAACTTACACGAAGGAAAAGAAAAGATTTTGAAAAATAAATACTATTTGGAGACAAGGCAGAGAGTTAAAGAATATAAATATAAGGACTGAATTATTATTTTTTGAAAGATTTAGTCTCATAACTGCAACAGTGTGTACAAACAAATTTTCATAACGCGCAAACGCACGTTACTTAATTTGTTTGCACACACCGTTTTAGTTATGAGACTACATCTTTCAAAAAAATAATAATTCAATGCTTAATTAAAATACAACACGACCAAAAAGAGATATTTCTGAATATTGCCGTCTCCCGTTGTCCTTTTCATTAAAGCTTTTAGGATGACTCGTTTGATTGATAACCACAACAATCGCTAATCCTGTAGGGCTATAGTATGGCCACACTAGAACGTGCAAGTAACCTGTTGATTCAAGCAACATTGAATAGAGCTCTATAAGGAACTAGTGTATAGTAAAGGATACTTAGAAAGCAATTGATGATCTCGTGATCTAAATAGCTCAGTAAAGTAAGAAGGAATCGAATTCCAACCACGGAAGAAATAGAACGGCATATTAAACGATTCATTAATGAGTGATACTCTTATACATAACGTTAGCTTCCGAATCATATGGAGTCGGGATGTGGCCAAGTAGTTCACCATCCCTTTACCACGCCATTAACACATAATCAACGTTGTGATGACGATGATAAAATGACGAGAATGGCTCTCGTGTCATTGCGCCTCAGTATCGCATTATTGCGTCAATATTATGCTTCATTAAAAAGATATTGTATTAATTTTCTATTCAGAAAATTGATATTGTGTTTTTTTTTTTAATTTGTAGCATTCTAGCGGAAATTCAGTACAATTTTCCGAGGATGCAATCGATCAAAAAAGCATAATATAAGATAATTTTCCGGTTTTCAATTGTAATTTCCTTATTTTTGAACACTTTTTTTGGAATAGGTCAAGCTCACGTGATTGTTTCCTTAATTTCAATAAAATTTAGTGACGGAGCCCTGCGAGTTTTACTGAAACGTCAATAAATCTAAAGGTACGTAAAAATATCGGTTTTAAATATCAGTGACTCTTAATTTGATTTACTCATCAACCTTATGTACAATATGATCATTATAACATAAATATAAAGACTTTTTATTTGTTTTTTCTTTTCTGCAGAAACATGGCCGATTGCTCGTCAAAAGTTCTTCCCGTGGCAATCTCAAGCTTCTTTTACACAAATTCTATGTTGGCACCAATGTGCATTCTGTCCATGAGTATTGTTATAATGATAATTTTCTCCACGTCAAAATCAATTCCAAAACCGCACCAAGTTGTTTGGGGAACGGAAGCGATTATGACTTTTATAAGCATGCTTTTTACGTTTCTTGTTTGGTTCCTTGTACATAGCAACAGAGGCGCATATTTAACGGGGCAAGTAAAGGACGACGTATCCAGGAAAGTTAAGCTTGTTTTCCTCTGGATATTTGGTCTTGGTAACATTTTAAATTCTGGATTTTATATGGCCACCAACATTGGCTGCTTGATTAATGGTGGTCCAAAACCATATGAGGGTGAACAATTTGCACGCATTCTTTGTCGTGTCATTGAGATATTTTTCTGCATTGGACAGTTGGGATTTCTAAGTCTTTATGGAAAGTACAGATTTAAATCATCCTCTCTTATTAATTATGGAATATCTTTTATGGTCATTGCTCATCTTCTTCGATGGTGTAGATCTTTCTTTGATTCGGTTATGGAGGAAAGTCGTATGTCATCAATGTCCAATAAAACAACTATCTATGACTGCTTTTACAATTCAGTTATTTATATTTCCATTCGAAAAATATCTGCTCCATATATCGGACCTATCATCGATGAATACTGTTTACTATCTGTTGCCATAGCTATTAAAATGTTCATCACATTTGACGTTGGCTCAAGCATACAAATAGAGGAAGAGGCAACGAGACAAGGACATTCGAGAACTGGTTCCATGATTGATCAGTTGTCCGCCGTTTCACGGAATATGTTCGAAAAGCCGAGACATCGACAGTCTTTCATTGTTTCAATAGGATGTGGCATAACTTTATCAATCCCCTTTTTAGTGGCTTATTTTTTACCCCTCTTTAATCGCAAATTGTCTTGGATAGACAATATTACTAGAATACCTTATGACTTATTGAACTTATTTCTTTTGTGTTTCGGATATAGACAATTCAATTTACAATTTCACGAGAAATTAGATAGACATTCAGAAAAAATAATATACCAACCCGTTCTTATTTTCGTAACAGCTGGAGCCATTGCTTACACTACCTTTGGTTGCATACCCGGGGTGATGTTTTTACACCAAACTGCTGGCCGTGCTCTTCTAGTTGATAAAAGCATTCAGGCGATTAATATCATTTTCCAGAGCATGCTTATACTACATGTTCAAACATTCTGCTTCAAGGATGCTAAGGTCCATGTACATGTAGCCTGTATTAAAGTTCATAACACATTTTTGTGTTTATTCGTTATGAACATCATTCATTGGACATCAATTACTTTCAGAAAACCTAACAGTACTATGTCTCTTGAGATAGCTTTCTATGGAGAGGACTACTGGAGAGTGATTATGCATATGACGTATCCTATCATTTTGTTTTACCGATTTCTGACTGCAATAGAAATGTATGAACTTTATAGAAAGACCATCATTTACAGACAATGTTAAGTTTTTACTGATATTATATTTCAGATTTTCATTTTGTACATATATTAGTCATGTCAAGGAAACTAAGCTCAGTTCTAATATTGCAATATACTATAAATTAAACCAAGCAACATAAATAAGATCATAATTATGCATGCCGTATGCATACTGAGTGTGATTGATGGATTTACCGTATATTGTTTTACGTCCCATTCGAGAATTTTTTCACCATATACCGGTGAAGGGCTTAATTTAGTCCTTTACTCGGCTCCCCAGGCCATTGAGCAGTGAGGGTTCTTTATCGTGCCAACGCCTGTCGTGACATGGTTCTTCGGTTTTTAAGGTCTCATCCGAAAGACCCGCAACTTTCACTTCAAAGTGCCGAGCGCTTGGCGAAGGAACAGTTACTACATATTCTTTATTGACTTGGGTCAGTCGTGGACAAGATTCTAACCCACGACCATCCGATCAGGAGCGAGCGATACACTGAGCATGATGTTTTATTTCTTATGCTTTATTTGTCAGAAAATACGATTATTAAGCAATGCAAATCACTTTTGTGTATATTTTATCAATATTTTGTTCATAGATTGCATTCACATTTTATTATTTAAAATATATATATATATATATATGTCAAAGTAAGCGTTTTGTTGCCCAATTTCATAAATATTGTAAGTTGTTTATTACATTTTCAAGAGGGAAATAATGTGATTTATTTATTGAATAAAGTGATATTCACTCACAGTGTGAAAGGATACCAAAGTGATATTCTCTCACAATTGAAAGGATGTCAAAGTAAGTAAGAATAATTTCTGGCCTGTAATGAGATAGCAATAGTAACTAAACCATCTTGCTAGAGACTAAAACAGCCAATGTCTTCCCAAACATGTTGCTAAAATCCATGTTACAATCTTTTCAACCTCACAACTGCTGAGCTATGACGTCTCAACTGTTCAAATATGGGGTCACAGCCTATGACACTGGGTTAAGAAAAGACAGAGGCAAAAAGAAAATAAAAGAAAATGTAATAAACAGAAAATTCAATGTTTTGTTGTTCGATATGGAATTTATTTCACTCGTGTGCAGGATTTTTTGATATTTTTACTCGTGCTTCGCACTACTGAAAATATTAAAAAAAAAAATTGTCCCACTCGTGAAATAAATTCCATATCCACCTGCAAAACATTAAGTATCCTCTAATTATTTGTAAGAAAATTGTGTATTTGTTGTGCCAACATAACTTCTTCAACCTTTGCATACTTAATAAAAAAAATATTTCCAATGGTAATAAAACTGTAAATTATTTGCTTTTATTAAATGTTTGTAACAACGGCTTTCGCCTCTCGGTAATACATATAACAAGTAGGGAATGGAAACATTGACAAGAACAACAACGGTAAGTAATTACAGTAATTAACTGAAAATGTTAGTTTTATTGTTGACTAAGTTTACCTGTATACATGTACTATAATGTGTGTTTTAAGGAATCCGATTGTTTTTGTTGTTGTTGTTGTGTGAGTGTGTGTGCAAAATCAACAATATAGAAACTCCTTACTTCTGTACAGTGTGTAAGGCACACAGACTTCGTGTTCATGAAAAGTTTCAGGAAAATCTTCGGTTTAGGTATTCTTAAGTAGGTACCATCGGAAAGTACATTTTCATCAAATAAAGCATTGCATGGGGAATGATTTTACATACAGATTATCTATTGAATGCCACCGACATAGAGTTTATCAAAAAGAAAAATGACATGAATATCTAAAAAAAAAACTAGTTAAAATATTGGTATGAATACAATATCTTTGCACGAAACACCAAAAAAAATTGTATTTTTTTTTTTAGAAGAGTGTATGAAAAACTTAATCTCAGCGACATTGTACGAGTATATTGTTAGGGAGAAATGTAAGGTCAACTTTAAAATATTGTTTGTTTGCCTTCTCCCGATTCAGGATGAAAAAAAAAATGGGTCTGTAGGTAGGTGAGAAAATATTTTTCTTAGAAATTTTCAACATGCTGAATGCTAAACATCTCTTAAAACTGAAGGTATTTATAAACTCAAAAATAGTTGTTCTCGAGATGAGAAAATTCTGGAATGAAAAAAAAATCGTTTCCTGGAGGTTAAAAAAGTTTTGAGTCGGCCATTTTTAGCCAGGCGGTCCGGAGAGGACAAACAAACAAAGTTTTACAGATGGCCTAAGGAATAGAATATTTATTATCAGTCATATTTTGAAAACTCCCAGTCTTCATTCTTCAGAAATTCCTTTGGCCTTCAGCTCATCTTTAACTCTTGACAGGTATTCTGGATCTGGATAACCATATCTGAAACAATTAAAATACTAACAATCATAAAATTTAAATTGATTTCTGATAAAATATTTAAAAACAGTATAAAGTAATACTAATTACAAATGAAGCAATAAAATTGTGTTTCATGCACAGTCATGCTATATATTTTTCTGCGTTTATTTTTGTTTTGTTTTCGTTTGTTTGTTTGTTTTTTTAAAATTAACTTTTACTTTTCTGGTCCTCCTTCTCTCCTTGTTTTGTGATGGATGTCGTTCCACGTGACTACGTTGTCTTTACCGGAAGTTCGAGAGAAACCAACAGTAAAAATCAGACGATGCTCGAAAGCACGCTTCAGCATCGTTAAAATCAGACGCCCCTCTCTATTGTCCGGTAAGTAACCTTGGCGGGAAAGGCCATGATACGGTTCCCCAGGACTAGGGTGGTTTTCCTGTTTGAAAAAAAAATATCTGTATCTAAATGATATATATATATATATTTATATTTTTTTTTTTTTTTTTTTTTTTTTTTAGAAATTGTCATCAAATATTATGTATATGCATTAACATAGACAAAATTACCGAATATATTGAACGGAATAAGATAAAATAAAATGTCTACCGTCTGATTTCCATCCGGAAATTCATAATGGATTATCAGTGTTTTACAGCTGTATCCCGGAAGACAAGCATCATCCAGATATATCGTAGCAGTCCCATTTTCTGGTTGATTTCCGTACATTTCCCCATAAACCGTATTGCAAACAGGACAAGCCGATTTATGGTATAAATATTCTGTTATACACTCACGACAGAACTCGTGTTTACAATCTTTCAACTGTACTGGATCAGTCAATTCATCATCCATGCAAATGACGCACATAGTCTCATTTTCGTCCGCCACATCTGCGCACGCACCTTTCTCTAATAGTTCACCATCAAGACGGGTGACTAAGATCTCAGTATCGGTATCCTCAGAATCCGAGTCGATCATTAGAAGATTTCCTGGACAAAGTTTTGATCCAGGGTTTTGTATTGGAATGGAATCGTTATACTTTCCAAGAAAGGTATTTTTGGGAGGTACGGATACCAAAAACAATTCCATATTTTGCTTGTGGTTTGCAGATGATCTCCAAGAATCGATCCTTTTATAATTTTTAGGGTTAAACTTGTTAGAATCTTTACGAGAATTTTTCGTAATCTCACCCTTTGGCTCTTTTTTCTTAATAACCTGTCGGTCTCTTTGAAGATTTGAATTCGAACAGAAGGATCTAAATACATCGATAACCACTTTCGTAGTTTGGTCGGTAAAATTGACAACATGGACCGTCTTCAAATTGACATTTTTTGCTGATGAGAAAGATTCAATTGCTTGTAGCATAACTGTGGCATATCTTGCTAGATGTTGTGGATTCTGAATTGAACCTGAAATAATGTAAATGCCCCACTTAAAAACCCAAACAACATTTTTAATTAAAGAAAAATTAAAACAGTTTCCAGTCCTGCTAAAATTTAAATCTGAATACGACCGTTAACTCATGATTCATTTCCAGTAAATGTACTCACCCGTTCCCAGTAACGAGAAAGCAATGGATAACAAATTCTTTTTTTTAATCTTTTTCTTGTTTGCTGCATTTAGTATATTAAACGTGGTATCCCATAATTGTTGTTGGTAAAAGTCTGATGGAATGTCATCCGGAAATTTGTCAATAATGGCATGGAAAACAATTTTAAAACTAAGACATCCCGCACCAGTCTGTAACACTTCAGTTGTGTTACGTTTTTTCTTCCCTGAAAACAGTTTTTCATGTTCCTTCTGATATGATTTTCCTGCCTTTTTGATAATTGCTTTTGCAAGCTTGCCGTTTCCGGGTACTTGGGCATTTTCTGTTGACACCAGAATATCGACGTTGTGAATTTTTGTGAGATCCTCATTGTAAATGAGTACAGTTAGGTTATTAACTTCAAAGATTTCCGTTCCTCCACTGGAATTAATTTGTTTTCAGTTTGATATTCTTGGAGTGTGAACATAAGACTGTGGGGGTATTTTAAACTGTGTTGTATATACAGGTTGTGGGATTGGAAGTACGGGAGATGGACTCGCTGGGTATGGGGATATGGGAGGCAGTCTGAATGGGTATGAAAGTACAGGAGTTGAATTGCTTGGGTATAAAAGTACAGGAGTTGAATTGCTTGGGTATGAAAGTACAGGAGTTGAATTGCTTGGGTATGAAAGTACAGGAGTTGAATTGCTTGGGTAAGAAAGTGCAGGAGTTGAATTGCTTGGGTATGAAAGTACAGGAGTTGAATTGCTTGGGTATGGGAGTACGGAAGTTGTAATGCATGGATCTTGACATTTTTCTAGATCATTTAAGCGCATCATCACAGATTTTTCCTCAAGATACCCTGGGTTCTCAGTAGCAATTTTGTATGTGTGTGTTACCAGTTCTACCATCTTCTCTTTTTTATCAATAAAATGAATTTCTTTGATTGGATTATTCATGCCAGGTAGAAATTTAAGAAATTCCTTTATGGATTTTACATACATTGCTGCAGATGCAATATCTGGTATGCCAAATATTTTACCTGAAAAGGACAGTTTACATCAAGAAATTAGAACTTAAATTAGACGTCTGAAGCTATGACAAGTGGAATGAATGTAAGTATTTCAACAACATTGGAAAACATTAGAAGTTTCTTTGCATGGTACACTTTAGGAAGAAAGAGCCAATACATATTCTTGGGATATTTGACGAATTTTCACTTACCTGAACCTATAGGAGGCAAAGCAACAGCTTTTATACCTTTATCACATGCTGTTACAAGAGCTCTTGTGACAGTTTCGCAGAGATCTTTTAGACACTGTGTCTTGCTTCCCGTGTCGTAATTCTCCCACCGAGGACAAGCGCAGTGAATTATATATTTACAAGGAAGCCTTCCCGCCAGTGTGACCAAATTTTCTTTGGTTTTTATCTGTCTGTTAGCTTTGATCTCTTCAGCAACTTCATTCCCTGCTTCCTTTATAATTACCTCTGAGAAACCATCAGCTTTGCCTCTATTCCAGATACTGACGATAGCTCCGACAGTGCTACTGGGTTTTGTGATAGATCCACTGTAAATCTTGAAAACAAGGGTACCCTTTTTCCATTTGAGATTAAACTCTTTTCTGGTTCCTAATGCCGATGCCATTGTTTACAGTTAGCCAGTTTCATAAAATTCCTTCACTGAATCATTAATTTCCCTAACATCAAAATCACACAAGGCTTATTAACGTTCAAAGAAACTAAAACGAAAGAAGACGTATGAAAATCGATGTGTTTACATGCATGCAGAACTGTGCACTACGAACATCTAATTTCTGAATCTCTTTATTTTACACGCGTACCAGCTATGAATGTTTTCACTAATTCAAGGAAGAATTAAACATGACAACAGAGACCAAACCAATCATAATTATCCTCAAGGTTTGTTTATGCGGATGTCGTTTATCGTGCCAGTTGTGCAATTATACAGATAAGAGTTATCTATTTCATGCACACATGTTTAAGCTAATTCAAGTCGTGATGTCTTTTAAAAATAACAGGCATTGGCTACTTGTATATGTATATAATGATTCAAGGAAATTTGAATGCATAAAAATATTCTTTTCTCCGCAGAAAAAAGTAGGCGGATGGCTTCAATATGGTGTCTTGTTTGTCCAATTAAAATAAGTCCTCTGTGATTCCCTTCGCTTCTAGTTTCTCCTTACCGTCACGGTAACTCAGTCCGTAGAAGCGCTCGCTCCGTGATCGGAAGGTCGTGTGTTCTAATCGCTGACCTAAGTCGATAAAAACTAGGGAGCAACTGTTCCTTCGCCATGCGCTCGGCACTTTGAAGTGAAAGATGCGGGCCCTTCGGATGAGACCTCAAAAAACCGAAGCCCCGTGTCACGGCAGGCGTTGGCACGATAAAGATCCCTCACTGCTCAATGGCCCTGAGTGCCGAGTAAAGGTCTAAATTTGAAGCCCCTCACCGATATATGGTGACTGACGTCTCTATATGAGTGAAAAATTCTCGAATGGGACGAAAAACAATATACAGTCAATCAATCTTTACTCTTTCTAGATTCTCAGAATCAGGGGCCCTTTTTACAAAAGAACTTACGACTAAGACAAAAAGCTTTAGTTGATTGCGAAATTTTGCAAGCTTGAAAATTCTGTTTAAAATTGCCAGTGTAAAAATATCTTTCTACATTCCCTTTAAAAAAGATTAAAACCATTTTCAATAAAATGTAAATAAGAAAGTTATAAACAGAATTAAATTTTGGTCTTAGTCGTAAGTTCTTTTGTAAAATGGGCCTCTGGATACCCATATCTGTAATCAAAACATTCCTACTTTGCAAGCATTTTGAAAAAATAACTTAAAAGAGTTTCAAAATGAAAATTACTAAATTCTAAATAAAAGGAGGGGAAAATGTTTTCCTCTCAGTGAACATTTACTAAACCAGAAGTACATTTATTCGTCAAAAGATGCATTGAAACATTGTTTCCATTTGACATAAAGATTGTTGGCGACCTCTATATGATATGAACAGTCAAATCTTACAAGTAGAAATGTGATACTTAATCATGAGACAGTAGCCTTCTTATTCTATAATGTCAAAAAATAATTCCATACGACATGCAAAATCATTTCGTGATTTTTTCACAGTATTAGTATAGTTTATATCTCTTGTTGTTCTTAATTTAATTTTTAAAAAGAAATTGCTGTTAACATAATTTTATTGCCATGATATTGAAATAACATATCCAGACCATATTCTATTTTCATCATTATTGTGCTTGCTAGCTCAATCAGATACATAAAACACAGCCAAATGTACCAAGCAATAATTTTCATGAAAAAGAAATATAAATTTTCACATGTTAATAATGTGAATTAATTGTAAAGTTCCTTTGACGAACAATGTTCGTGCATTTTGGGATATATTTGAGCATTCACACTTGAAAATCACGTAAAGTAATACTCACCATCATGTGACCGACACATACCGTACAAAGAGGCTTCTCTGCAAAGTTTGGCAATGTGACTTGCAATTACCATCACAGTTAGCAAATCCAGTTTGAAAAAGAATTGCTAAGCACACTTTCAATAGTCCTGCCCTTTAGAATCCAAGTACCGGTATGTTTTAATAAGTATTTTAAGTCACCGCATTCATATTGCATGGTCATACTCTTTACAGGATGTCCAGGTTTGTTGATTATATATCTACTTTTCTCCCTTTGAAAATTGTTCCCTCATAGTCGAACGTCATCAATTGCCGATGAAAGACTTCAAATTTAGTCCGTTACTCGGCATTGTTTTTGGCCATCGAGCAGTGAGGGATACTTTTTCGTCCCAACATCTACTGCGACACGGGACCTCGTTTTATGTAACCTCATCAGAAGGATTGGATTCCATGTCTCGCAGTGGGATTTGAAATCGCGACGTAAGGATCAAGAAACGTTATATAAACACTGCATCACGCGGGCAACAGGATGTCCAAACACTTTACGGAAATGGGTGTTTTTTAATGTTTTATTTACTATCAAACTTAAACCAAAGAAGTCAGGCATTTGCAATAAGATTCAGGACATGCTAAATACCTCGTTTAAATAGTTACAAGAACACATATGAAAAATGAACGAATGTTGACACAATTTAATAATCTCCACCTGTGCATAATAATGAAAAAGATATAATCATCAGATGATCTTCCAATTGATTTATATTCGTATTGAATTTTATGCAAACATAGGATGATGAGCCTAGGGGGTAATTCAGGTGATTTTTTCTTCATTTGAAAGGATGGGGTTCTACAAATGACAAAACGAGTTCTAGACAAATTTAAAAATAATAAAGCTTAATATATTTTCTTCATGGTTTAATAAAGTAAATTTATAAAAATAGAAATATATTTTATATACTAAGTAACGGATAAATCCGTCGACAATTCAGTATCACTTAACAATTAGTATGAAAAACATTCATCAACATTTTGACTTAATGAAAACGCTAGACTATAGAGGCAAATGCATACTAGATATGTGTTCATGTATTATAAAAAGCAAATAATATCTAATGACAAAACTTTTGGTGATTGTTGTGGAAACTATACAGTCATGTGATAATCATCATGGATCTAGTGTTGTAGATTAATTTATTGTTTCAGAGCAACTTTTAAAATTTATTTTATATGCGTATGCGGCTAATTTTATATCACTCTCAAATTGTCACTGTAGTTTGTCTATGAAATTGTTCCTCTTTTGAATGTGAGAATGTTTGTGAAAACATGATATAATATATCAAATGGTGTCATTTTATGAGATACATGCCATACGAAAATGTGTACTTGACCGTCAACTAGTCGTCAACTAGCAGACAACTACTTGTCAACTGAATACTCG